GAAAATAGCTTTATTCTTTTTTTAATGGTAAAGTAAATAACGTATACTTCATGTAAAGAATTTAAGTAATACATAAATACATTGAGAGAGTAAAGGTGACTTAGACTTCCACTATCCTGTGACTCCAGTTAACCTTTTGGGAGCTGTCCTGTAACGTGTCTGTTAATATGTACGTGTACACACCCACTCTCTTGAGTAATTCTGTGTAATTGATATTGTTACACATGCTGCTTTTGTGGTAGGCTCCTCTCCCCTCCCTCTGGCTTAAGCCATGTTAATGACCTAGCTATATACATACTCCATGTACTTCATACTCATACAACTCTGTGCTGACCTACACACACATAAACATGTTTAGAGATTTTGTGGTTTATTTTACAAAAAATGTGATCAGCTGTGTTTCATGCATCTTGCTTGACTTGCTCAACAAGATCTCATCAAAATCCCTTTATCTCTTACAGCTGTAATCCAATCTGTAAAAATTGGCTTTGATGGTAGTCTGTGTGCATGTATCCTAATTTATTCAGCCATTTGAGAGGCTTTCTTTAGCATAGTTTAAATATATGAAGCTAAGAAGAACTTATAAAAATCACTTAATTTTTTACATCTTTGCACAGGTGTTGGTATTATAATTTAGAGATTCTCTTGTGGCCTAGCCAGTGTAATTTTGTCTAGACTGTCTCATTTCAGAGTGAGCTGTGGGAAAACAAGGCTGTTTAATTTGGGTGCTGACTTTACTTTTCCTTCCAGTTTACTATCAATGTGAGTACGGACATGCGGCATCATCGAGTGAGACTGGTCTTCCAAGATTCTCCTGTCCATAATGGTCGGAAACCGCGCAGTGAACAGGGTGTGCAGGTCATCCTGGACCCCGTGCACAGCGTGCGACTCTTTGACTGGTGGCATCCTCAGTATCCGTTCTCCCTGAGAGCATAGTTACTGCTTCCCGTCCCTGAGGGCGGCCCTGAGCTCGGCCAGTCCATTAGGAATCGGATCCCAGTTTGGAAGGGGTGGCTGGATGGGATGTCTGGTTAGTAATGCACATGCTCTTCAGGCTCCTGGGGCTCCTGTTAGGGGAAGGAGAAGGAGTGAATCAAGAGGAAAAACAACTATGATTTATAAACATATTTTAATGTGAAAATTTGCATTCGAAAGGAGAAGCCTCGCCTTATTTTCTGCGTTAAACCCCATTTGGTGCTATTGAGTTTGTTCTTTATTCTTTTATCCCAGTGAAAATGAATAATCTTGCTCTAGGGAAAAATTAAACTCTTGAATCTCCAAACAAGGAAGTTTCAGCAATCCCTCCTGGATCAGAGGAACCTTAGAGGCCTACAGTTGTTGCTGTGTTGCTTCCAGTTTAGCTACCCCTCAAATTCAAGTGAATATTTTCTCTTCTCCCTTGACCCTTCTGCAGAAATAAAGCGGTGAAAGGGTTTTCAGAATCTTATAAGATTGACGTGTGTATCCTTCTTTAAAAATGATTTTTGGATATTTATTGCATAAATATTCTTTTGCCAGTTTTGGATTTTAGGTATTTTTTTGCATGAAGCTGATATGGTGATAATAACTTTGTGTCCTTGGTACTGTATTAGGAACTTTACATAATATCCCTCATTCTCACAGTCCTGCAAGGTGGTGACTCTGTTCCCATCTGTGGCTGAGGAACTGGCTTGGTGACTTACCCAAGGCTATAACAGCTAGTCAATGGTAGAGCCAGGGTTCCAGCCGAGGTCTTTCTGCTGTGCCAGAGTTAAAAAGGTCAGTCTCCTTTTTCTTGAGGTAGATAGTGGCAAAAGGGAGTAGGCAGAATGTACAAAAGGTGACTCAAATTTGACTGTGGTATACCTTTCCCTAATCAGCCTGAAACTTATGTTTCTAAGTAAAATGTAAAACAAACCAAGAAACTTACTGAAGGCAGAATAGTGATATTTTCATTGAATTGTTAGAAAGGCACTTATGCCAAAGGTTGCTAAAAAAATGCCTCCCATGTTGAAACCAGCCTCCTGAACTGTAGGCAGCTGGTGACTTTGCCCTGCTCTGTCCTGTGCTGCTTCTCATCCTACGTGCCTACAGGCGCCTGGCCTCGTGCCTGCAGAAATGCTGGCGTCCTGTAGGCCAGAGGACTGCGGTAGCTGGTGTACTCTGAGAAGACAATCATGGGTGGGCTGTTGTTTTGTTTTGCTAAGGAGATAACCTTGCTGCTTGTGTCTGCCCCCCAACCCCACAAATTAGCCAGTGAGCTAGATATCAGCTAGATATTGTCATGAAGTGGGCATTAAGATGATGTTCTTTAAACTTGAAAATCTTGTGGGGGCAGTTATTAGCATGAGCCAAAGTGCTAAATTAGTGTGGTGTTTTCTCCTTACCGTCCTCCCTACCCCCTGCTATTTAAAGTATATTTTTAGGAAGCGTTTGCTTAATACTGCTGTTGACAGCTAATCTTATCCCACACTGAGGGTGGTACTAAAGCTGTTCACACAGAAAGTGAGCCTGTGTCAGTGAAAAGCAGAATTTGGGTATTTAAATGATAAAAACAAACAAAACCTGAGGATGATAAGCACCTTGTGAATCTCTACAGTCAAGAGGTCCCTGGCTCCCTGCGCTAGAGATGCTGTGGAACAGGAGGGCTGTGTCCTGGTGGATTGATGTCCCCCCTTTAGGAGTTCCTTTAAAAGGGGAGTGAAATAAATTTGGCTTAGTTGTTTTCTGACTCAACTTCCGAGTTTTTGTATCGCAGTCCATGGTATGATGATAGAGAAAATATTAGATACTGCCTCAGCTGTTCTCTTAGTATAATATTGACAGACTTGGTGAAGTTGTCAGTAGTCGTCATGCCTAAGTCTTCCTTCTGCACTGCCGAGTTGCCTTTTCTAGGATGATTCACGGTTTATTAGCGGAAGGATGTGAAGTGCTCAGGGATTTCCTTCTGATGGGACCCCCAAACCACCTGGAGAAGTTGCAGCTTTCCGGGCTGCTTTTGTAAAAACTGCTTTGTAATTTTCACTTCCTTAACTACATACCTTGATTTCGTTCTGAGGGGCAGACAGAGAAAATAACACAAATTTACCTTCATTTCTCACCCCTTAAGTAAATCAGAATTACTCACATTTTCTTGCCTTCTACCAAAGATACAAGGAAACTAAACCAAATGGGGGAGAGAAGAAGAAAGAATGGCTGTACGTGCCGTCGATCTCAGCGACAGCGTTTGTCGCAGATGGAGAGCGCGCGTCTGCATCTCTGCGTGTAAAAACTCTTCCCGCTTCCCGCCGTGCCTGCCGGTCGGGAAAGGGTTGAGCAGGCTCTGGGATGCACCGCCACAAGCCGGGCGGGCGCCGCACTGTCGCCGCGGGGGACAGGGTGAGGGGCGATTCAGGACGACGGAGACTCAACGGAGGCGCCAGCCGGGAACTTCGGCCTTGGGCCGCCTTCGAACCCCGTGTTAGAGCAGGCAGCGCGCCGCTGGACAGCAAGTGCGCGCACGGCCGGGCTGCTGTGGCAGGAGACGGCTCGCCAGCGCGCACGCGGAGTGGCTGGATCGCAAGCTGCTCCGCGTGGAAACGGGCGCGACCGCAGGAGAAGCGGTGAACGCGCGCGAGCCGGCGCGAGGGGCCGAGCGCGTGGGGCTACGCCGGGCCGGGACGCAGGCCGACTCTGGAGCGGGGGGGGGGAGCCGGGAGACCCGGAGCCGCCGCATCACGTGCCGGGGGCGGGGCCTGAGCCGGCCGGGGGCGGGGCCGGGCCCTGCGCGGGCGAGGGGCGGGGCCTCGGGCGGACGCTTCGCGCCGCGGAGGCTGCAGCGGCTCGATCCCTGGGTTCTCGGCTTCTCGGCTCCTCCGCCCCTCGGCTCCTCGGCCCGCTAGGCCGCTCGTCCGCTCGGCTCCTCGGCTCCTCTGCCCCGCTGTCGCTCGGCCGGTCGGCTGCTCAGCTCCCAGGACGCCCGGCTCCGCGGGCGGGGCCGGCCTCTGCTGCCCAGAGCGCACTGCCGGCCGCCGACGACGCAGGCGGGTGAGCGTGCGGGGCCGGGTCGGGGAGGCTGCCTCTGCCTCGCTCCGGCTCCCTGCCGGGCTGGGGTCTCGGCGCGCCGCGGGAGTTGCCCGCTGCGTCCGGACGTGGGGTCTCGGGCGGCCTGCCCGCTCCCCGTGCCGCCCCCTGCCTTGGCGGCGCGGGTGCCCTTGGGGTGGGCGTGGGTTCGCCGCCGTCAGCCGCCGAGGGGCTGCGCGCGTCCCGCCGAGGGCACCTCTGCCCGTCCCGGAGGCGCCCCGAGCCCGGCCGCCGCTCCGTCCTGCGGCCCCGGCCCCTGCCCGACCCCCGCCCTCCGGCCTCCCCCTCCTTGTCCCCTGACCCCCCGGGTCTCCTGCCTCCTCGCCCTCTGGTTCCCCGGCCCCCTTACTCACTTCCTCCTGCTCCCCAGCTCCCCTGTCCCCCTGCTTCTCTGGGTCCAGTCCTGCCCCACAGCCCCCTCCACGGCCCCCTGCCCCGTGCCATCCTGCCTCTCCGGGTCCAGTCCTGTCTCCTGTCCCCCTGCTCCTCCAAGTCCAGTCCTGCTCCCTGCCCCCCTGCCCCTGCGGGTCCAGTCCTGCCCCCTGCCCCCCTGCCCCTCCGGGTTCAGTCCTGCCCCACAGCCCACTCCCCGGCCCCCGCCCCTGTCCCATCCTACTCCTCCGGGTCCAGTCCTGCCCCCCTGCCCCTCTGGCTCCCGGTCCTTCCTCGCAGTGCCCCGGACACCTGCTCCCCTGCCCTCCTGCCCCTGCGGGTCCAGTCCTGCCCCGCAGCCCACTCCCCAGCACCCCTGCCTCCTGGCCCTGGCGTCCTCGCGGCCTCCGCCCCTCCCTGCGGCCTCAGGTGCCCGGGGTCTCAGGCCCGGGCGGCGGCGGGGGGAGCAGTGCGGAGCGGACTCCGGCCGCGCGGGGGCCGTTTCCAGGGGGCCGGCGGGCCTGGGAGCGGGCAGACGGAGGTCAGGGTGCGGGTGGGTTCTCGAGCAGGAGGGGGGCTGGAGGGCAGTGCGCTCGCTGCCCAGGTCGCCTGTGGGGAGGGGCACGGGCGGTGGTCACCTGCGGGGAGAGGCACGGGCGGTGGTCGCCTTTGGGGTCCGCCAGGGCTGTCCTGTGTGAGCAGGTGAGGAGAGCTCCGCGAGCCTGCAGACCCCGGGCGGGAGCTCAGGGCCCCTCCCCCGGCCGGGCTCAGCGACTTCCAGGAGCGCTGGAACCGCACCTAGTAGTTTGTTCAACCCCCCGCAAGCATTCGTGGGGCCCCTGTGTATGCCGGACACCGTGCTGGGAGCTGCGTCTTCTGAAGGCGGTTTAGGGCCATGGAGCGGCTGCAGGGCCCCCCACCCCGTTCTGTTGCATGCTCTTGGATTAGGAAAAGACAACCTGTCCACGTGCTTTCCAACAGCTGTCTGAACTGGACTCCGGCCCCTCTGCCCCCGACCACTCTTAGCTGGCCAGGTAGTCCCCTTAGCAAAGGAACAGTTTGGATGATTTCCCTTGGCTATTTTCAAGGACTTTGTCATGAGGCCTGAGGCGGCTGCCTGGGATAAATGATGCCTCAAAGTAATGAGATGATGAATAGCACGATGGTTATTAGGGGCCAGGGGTATGCTAGACGCCCAGCAGAGCGCGAGACTCCAACACTGGAAGATAGAGGAGCATGGGGGAGGTGGGTTTGGAAGGGGAGTCTGTCCAGTGTGCTGCTGGGTGTGTCCTGAGGGCAGGAGGGACTGGAGGGGCAGGCCAGGGCAGGCAGCCAGACTTTCGGGCCTGCTCCCTGTGCTGATGGCTGAAGTCTTAGAGTTGGGAAGAGTTGTTGCGTTGCTTGTGAGCCCTTTCAGAGCCTCTGGTGGAGGGGAGGACAGTCAGGCTGTGGTGGCAATGAGACAGGAGTGAAGGCTCAGCAGGGCCAGGGTGCTGGGGACCCTGGGGGGCTTAGGTGATGGGGGAGCTTGCTGAGGCCCTTCTATGCCAGCATATTCTCCTCTGGGGCTTTAGGCCCTTGCCTGGGTTGCTGTAGAGACAAGTGTGGTTCTGAGTGGTCCGGAGGGGTGTGTGTGCTGGAGAGGAGCCGGGAGGACTAGGGAGTGAAAGCTGCCCTGATCAGAGTCTAGGTCCCAGGGACTGAACTGGGAGGAGTGGAGAGAGGAGGGGGGTCAGAGGGAGGGGCGAGTGTGTTTGCAGCCACACCAAGTCACCATCTGTCCCCCGTTGGCCTGCTAGCTCACTGACCTATAATTAGCTCTGGAGGGCATATGGGGCTGGCTCACAGGAGCTTGGCACCTTGAGTGGCCGGCCTAGTGAAAGGTGCTCAGAGGGGCCGTGGTGCTCGGCGGACCCTGGGAGGCTAATTCCAGGGGACTCTCAGCCTTTGCTGTACTGGAAGGGACTGTGGGAAATGAGGATGTCTTGAGGTGCAGGACATGTCCCTGGTGGGGGACATGGCAGTAGGGGAGGAGCTCTGGGCTCAGGTGGTGTGAAACTCCAGGCCCGGCAGAGCCTGAGCACTCCTCTCTCCTTGCCTTGCCGCTGGCTCAGCTGTCACGAGAAGTATGATTGCCACCTGCCTCTGGCTCGTTGCTCTGCTGTCGGAGCTGTAGCCACCGCCTGCCTCCCGTGTCTTCTGTTTGCCCAGGTGAAGTCACCGCTAGCACAGGGCAGCTTCTTGCCTGTCAGTCAGGGGCTGAGAGCCCTTGGCTGGGGCTGCTTCATTCTCAGGGAGCTGGAGGAGAAACTACCTCCAATTAGTTCAACTGGTTGTGCTCCAAGTGGTGGTCAGCGCAGACCCCCAGGCTGTGCTGGGACTGAATATTTGGTCACATGCTACTCTGTATTGCTCTGGACTGTACTTACGCATCTGTGTTCTCTCAAGTAGACTGTGAACTTCTTAAGGACTGAGACCGTATCTTACATGCCTTTTGCATCTGTAACAGTTTCTAGCTCAGTATTGGATTCATGGAAATCTACTCAATGAGTAATTGTTGCATTGAATTGAAGAGGTCTGTCTTCTGATTCCCTGGGTTCAGTGAAGCAGGGTCTGCTTACAACTAGAAGTGTTTAACCCGGAGCCGAGGAGCCTCTGGGGACCCAGTACAGTGGTGTTACATCTCAGTGGGGAATTAGATTCTGTAGGCAGTAGGTAAAGTGAAAATCCCTAAATCTCCCATAAAGCATGGTATATGGGTTTAGGTTTATAACTCTGAACAATAGCGTTAATGTACAGATATAGTATATGTTATATACCTTGTATATTAATTATATAAATATATAATGTGTGCAGTGATTTTAAAGAATACTTATGTACAATATAATTTTGTATTTAAGTGTCAGATGCATTTGAAGGCCTTTACTGCTTATTTTGCCCAGCCAACAGAGTTGAATTCTTCTAAATTAAAAGCATATCTGATGTGACTTCATGGCCATTGTCTTCCGATGGATAACTGTCATTTCAAAGAGGAGATGGGTTTCCATTCAATTTAAGAAAAAGCTTCCTTAGGACAATGAGGGCTTCCTCGTTTCTAGTGAGCTCCTTGTTCCAGAAGGATAGTCAAGTAAAGACTGAGCTGTCGGGGGTGTGTGGAAGGACTCCCACACAGAGTGGCAGTTTGGCCTGCGTGACCTCAGAGGACCCATCCAAGCAGGAATCTGCAGTTCCAGGTAATGGGTGGGGGTGGGGGTGGGCGCTGGATGGTGGAGGTCTTTGGCAGCTGCTACAGAAGAGGACTCTCCTGAGTTTGGCTTAGAGGAGAGATGCTGAGAGCGGAGGGCCTGGGGAGTGGGGCCAGGCTGGGAATTGGTCTGGGCTATTCCATGAGTAGTGGACATTCTGGAAGATCCAGGGGGTGGCCACTGCCGTCTGTAATGCACATGGAGCCCTGGGCTCAGGAGACCCTGCAGCGCAGGTCTGGTGGGGGCGTAAGTAGAAGAGTGGGCTTGGCCCAGTTCCCTGACCCAGCTCACACTGGGCCGCTTGTGGAGTGCCCACAGCTTTTGGCCCTCGTTCGGGCAGAGCATCTGGACCAAGTTTCATTCTTTCATTATCATTCCTGTCCTTCCCTGCTCTTCCTGTTACACGTGTCCCACAGGTTCAAGACCACATGTGCTCTTAGACTCTCTCATGACCAGCAGTGTGCTTTCATGATCACACACGTGCACGCACCCTAATGGGGCCCACATGCTCTTATGAACCTATGTGATTTCATGACTCCCCGATGTGTGTGCTTGTATGGCCACACACACTCACTCTCGTGACTGAACACACACACACACACACACACACACGCATTCCCATGGTCACAGTCGTACCATCGTGAGCCCTGACACACTCATGACCACACATGTCCATACACAGTCTTACCCCTGTACACACCCGCTCACTGTCTCTCAGGCCCCTGTTCTCGTGACTGTGCCTGCACATGCACATACCCCACAATGTGTAACCATGTACACATGCACACTTTTTGTGATGCCTGCATTTCTCTGGGCGGTTTCGCACCCTGGCACCTGACAGCACTGCCCTCTGTGTCCCCGACTCCTCCTGGGCGGTTCTGTTTGCTCCTGTGTGATGGCTCCCTTGCTTGATGCACTGATCTCCTGATGCAGAGACTCGTCAGTGTTTTTTTTCCAACACCAGAGGATCTATATTTGTTCCACGGGAACCGCTAGATTTGAAAGATTTTTATTCTCCAAATACACCACACTTATTACTTTATTTCTTCTTTTGAAATCATTCTTTGAGGGCATCCTTGAGTATTAATCAATGGCTCTGATTAGCAGAAGGTGGCTGGGGTTACCGCACTTAGTGACGCAAGTCCTGCCGAAGCTGTGTGCTGTGTTCAGTGGTGCCGCCTTTGATCTTTTCTGGTGTAAATATATGATTTATATTCGACGTTTAGAATGTGGAACACAGCTGGTGGCCCCCAGTGCCACCTGGTAGCCCCCAGGTTTACCGTGCTGTGCATGGATGTGCTGCCTCTCTGAGAGAACGTGTTTCTTTTTGCAGGGCCTTCTGCGGACAGTGCTTAAGCCAGGGATTTTCTCACCTTGTTTTAGACTCGGAACCCTTCTATACAATGAAATCTTAATCAGATGTCTAGTAAAGTGAGGATGACCATACAGCCAGGCGTGTCTGGGACGGCCCCAGTTGACACCTGTTCCTGGTGTGATTGTTAACCCGTGTCTATTCGCGCCCAAGAAGGTCCTGGTTTGGACAGTAAGGAGTGTGCTCACCAGGTGGTGGGCTGTGTCTTGGGAAGAGGTGGCCCATAACTAACTCCTGGGGAGCAGCTGGAGAGATGGGCTTCACAGCGACAGGCCCGGGAGCCTGTTGGAAGGAGACGCCCCTGCCTGTGTCTGACTGCGTGTGCCGGGCACTGGGAAGTTGAGTGCCTGGGCTGGCAGCTGGTGCTGATCTGTGAGGTATGTGCTGAAAAAATAGCTATAAACAGAGGGTGATCAGAAGTTCCTTAGACTAGCATGAAGAGGGAGACTGAGGCAGGCCAGGCGAGGTGCTAGAAGCTCATGGGTAGCAGGTGGGCTCTGGGAGCATGGCAGTGAGCAGGGCTAGGAGGAGCAGGGGAGGAGGCCCGACTGGGATTTTGGAGGAGAGGGTGAGTGAGGGCAAGGCTTCTTGGATTGGTGAGTGAGAGGGACGGGAGGAGGAGAAGCTTCTGGGTTAGTGGGAAGGAGAGGGGTCACCTGGACTTCCTTCTGCTAGGAGGCTAGTATCTGAAAACCCCCCAGAGTGAGGGGGGCTGAGGGCTCAGAAGAACGTCTGTTCCTGTGGTTCTCGCAGGAGTGTGTGGGGGAACTCAGGGGTCTGCGAACAACTCAGAGTGGAGCCAGCTGTGGGCTGGGGGAGAGGGTCGGGTGGGTGGCAGACGAGGCCTTGGAGATGGGTCACTTCCAATGGTGAGGGGGCCACCTCATGACCGTGACAGCTGCTTTGCCGAGGCCTCCCCCCAGGCTGGAAGAGGAGGGGGTAGGGGGCCGAGGTGGGCTCTCCCTAGGCCGCCACCACCCTGATGAGGGCAGGAAAGGCTGCCCCCAGGTGCCTTGGCTCCTGGGAGGAGACACGCCCAGAGCGGTTATCGCTCACCCGCTTCCTCCACCCCGACCCCTGTTTGGAGTCAGACGGACTGGAACTGAATCCTGATTCTTTCTCCTACGAGCTCTGTAGACTTGGTTGCATGACTTTGTCTCAATTCTCACACCTGTGAAAAGGAAAGAAGAATTATGTGTTCCTTGCAAGAAATTGTGAGGATTAAAGGAAGTTAATATGTCACCTCACAACCCAGTGCCCAGCATGTGGTAGATGTCGAATCAGCTGTAGCTGCTGTCACAATCGTTATTGTCCTGGGTGACGGCTCCCTCCTCCTTTCCTCGGGCTTCCTCCCCCTTCCTCCAGTCCAGTGGGTGTGTGGCCCTCCTCATTCGTCTCTCTGCTCTGAAGGGGCTCCCACCTGGGGCCCCTCTTTGCCCAGCTCGTGGCTACTCGGACTTGAGCACAGCTCCTGGCAGCTTTGCCCTGGCCCTTTGGCCTGCACAGGGGCCAGCAGCTTTGTCCTTGCCGAGCTGTCTCCCTGTGGTGGGGCCTGCCATCTGGTGGGACAGTGGGGAGCCAGGCTGTGTGTGTGCGGCCAGCCAGAGCCTCAGACAAGTGTCCATCCCTGTTGTTGGGAAAGGTGGGTGACTTTTGGGAAGACAAAGAGGCCTCAGAGTTTATCTTCTCTGTTTATGAGCCCTGAGGCCTGGGTTTTTGGTGAACCCCTCCCTGCTGACACACGCACACGCACTTGCACACGTGTACACGCACACACGCTCACTCTGGAGCCCTCTTCTGCTGTTGCACAGCCTGCCCACGCTCCTCACCGGCAAAGCCCTTCACAGATGCTTGCTTTGGGGGCTGGTAGCTTTCGCCTCTGAATCAGGACCTGTGAGTGTTACTTAGAAATTGTGCGGGAGTTGAGGAGGTTCTGTTAGGCTGAGATGGTAATTGAGCTATTTAAAGATGGCCCCGGAGCCAGAAGGAGCCAAGTGTCCTGACGTGGCTGTCCTAGAGCTCACTTCCGCTCACAGTGCGTGTGGTCGGTGGGGGCAGGGGCAGGAGGTCCTAGACCGTCGTCTCAGGGGCATCTGCCTGGCGTCTCCTCTGGGCCCATCTTCAGCCTGCTCTACGAGATGACATCTTGCCAGAGGAAGTGGAGTTCCTGCCTGGCGCCTGGTCTGGAGGAAGGCTGGGAAGGGCAGGTGGCTCTGAAGCCAGCCTCTCAGTTGCCAGAATAACCAGAAGGATTTGGGGAGGCCAAGTTGGACCAAATACCTAGCCTGTCGCAGTCGGCAGCCTGAGGTCCTGCTCTTCCTAGCCCCTTCCTGTGAGGAGCTTTCAAAACCCCGCCCACAGGCCTACAGTTGCCTCCCCTGGGGCCATTCATCCTCCCCTCAGTCTCAGTGTGCTTTCTGCTTTTCCAAGCCCTGTTTACCCAGGGTCTCATCCCTCTAAGGAGGGCAGAACAGGGGTCGTGGCTTCCATCTTGCAGCAGAGGCTGTGGTAGGTGTTGGCAAGCCTAAGTGCCAGCTCTGGGCTCCTTTATGCTACCCTGTGGGCTGCCTGCGGATCTGTTGGACTGAGGCCATTCCCAGGGTCCTGGGCTCCTAGCCTGGCTCTTTCTCCTCTCTCGTTCTTCTTGGGGCGGGGTGCGGGAGTGGGAGGGATGAGGGCCTGGCTGGTGATGAGCTTGGAGAGGTATGGTGGGGCCATTGTGGCCTTTTGACCTTACAAATAGGAGCATTCACCGTGGGGGAGAATGGGAGGAATGGGTGGCATCGGCACCAGTGAGATGGCAGCTCTGGCAAGATGGGGGTGGCAACTCCTCCTGTCTGCTCCAGCTGCTCTGTGGGGCAGGGAGGTTGGGGGCAGCAGGTGTGCTCCAGGCTGCTACTTGGCGCCTCTGTAGCCTCTGGAGTGACTGTCTAGCCTGGAGGAAGAGTCCCTTGGAGCCGTCTGTGTCTGGTTTCTGTGTCTGGGAGACTGTGTGTGGCCACATGCATGTTGTTCTAAGTCTCCATGGCTCTGTGCCACCTCCGTGTGTGTGTGTATGCACGAGGTTGTGTGGGCACCCACCGCCTGCCTGGACTGCTGGGCCCCCTGGGAGCGGCTGCAGGTGTGTGCCCTGGCCTTCTCAAGCTGACGCTCTTTCGTCTGGTCCAGGCCTGTGTTCCTCCCCAGACTCCCTCCTGCTGCCCCCCTTTCTGCCTAGGTCCTCAGTACTCTGAGGGAGGGCTTGCCAGCGAGTGAGGGGCAAGGGGCTTGGCCCTTCTCTGGTTCCCTTGCTGGGTTCAGCCCTGCACAGGCCTGGGATGCCCAGACCTGATCTCTCACTTCATGCCTGGTCCTGATGCCTCTGGTCCTCTCCCCGACCCTCCCAGTCTGCCACCTGAGGGGTGGACAAGAAGCTGTCCCTGTGTCTCCCAAATGGGGGTGGAGTAGGAAGGAAAGCAGCATTTGTGGAGCATCTGTGTGCCCATCGCTGTGCTGGGTGCCTCACATCCCATCGCTCATGCAGCAGGAGCTCTGAAGACAGCTCCCTTTGAAAACTGATTAAGGGCAGGGAGGTCCCCAGCTCCTTGCTGCCTTCCTCATTCCACCTTCCTTTGCTCTGTCCCCGGGCTCCCCTGCGCCAGACTCAAGGCCTTACTGCGGCCAGGCTGTGCACATGCTACCTGCCCCAGCCGGCAGTGCCAGCAATAGGCGATTACAGGGAGGGAGAAGATCCCCTGCCACGAGCAGGGCCCCCACACCAAGCCCTGCCCTAGGAGAATGACACCCCCACCCACACACTGACCCTGGGCTCCTTCACATCAGTCCGTCCCTGCTCTAGCCCAGAGGTGGTAGGCCATGAACGCAGAATGGAAGCCTGCTGGCTGCTGGTGGTGGGGGGAGTGCCTTGAGCTAGAGCTTCCTCCCTCAGTGATGGGCATGGAGCAGGTCAGGGCTCTCTGCCCGCCCCAGTGCCCTGCTTGTGTGCTCCAAGGAGCCGTGCTGTGCCAGTGGTCAGGGGAGGAGCTGCTCTGCCCCTGTTTCCATGGCCCCAGGAGTCAACCCTGTGTGGGACCCACACCCACTGGGAGCCCTTTAATTCCTTCTGTGTTTGCCTTGGCTTGAGCGTGGGGGGAGAAGGCCATGGTGGGTGGGGCAGAGACCCTGTTTCCTCCTCACCCACCCCCAGGTCTCAGGAGGATCTGGGCAGCCTGCTGGCTGCTCCCCTGCCGCTGACTGAATCATTTCTATATTTGGCCAGCGAGCCACGTGGGTGGGGGAAACCACTCCACTGCGGCTGCACTTCTGACAGCAGGGGTGGGGGGAGCTGGCGGCCCAGGCTGCAGCAGTGGGCATGTGCGTTCCTTGGGAGAACTAGGGAAGGCGCTTTCTGAGAAGGGGCATGCGCCAACACTGCCCTCGCCTCCCCACACTCTGGTCCAGGTTCCTGCCTCCTTTCCCCCACCCCTCCCCTCAGCTGGGCCTCACGGCAGTCTCTTCTCCCACAGACCACTGCCCTCCAGAAATGATGGGTGTCGCTGGACCCGGCTGGGACTCTGCCAGGCTCCAGCGCTCAGTCTAAACGAGGGGCCCTCTTCTGGCCCTGCTCTCCCTGCCTGTCATGGCCACACTTGGCTGCTGCCCGCTTGTCTGTGGACAGAGGGCACCCAGCCCCAGCCCTGAGAGGTTAAGCCAGGCCCTCTGGCTCTGTTCCACAGGGGCGCTCTGGGCACCAGGCCCCTTTCAGAGCAAGAGCAACTGATGCCATGGGAGAAGCCCCTGCCCACCTGTCCACTTGCCTGGCACTGCCTGCTCTGAGACCCATGCACTGGGTCCCCCTGAATGTGCCAACCCTGTGAGCCCCTCCCCTCTCCCCTGACACCGTGAAGGCCCTGCCCACTCCCACCATGTGTGAGGTGATGCCCACAATCAACGAGGGGGACCCCCTGGGCCCCCCCCATGGCGCCGATGCTGACGCCAACTTTGAGCAGCTGATGGTGAACATGCTGGATGAGCGGGAGAAGTTGCTGGAGTCCCTTCGGGAGAGTCAGGAGAGCTTGGCGGCCACGCAGAGCCGGCTCCAGGATGCCCTGCATGAGCGGGACCAGCTCCAGCGCCACCTTAACTCCGCCCTCCCCCAGGTAAGGCCTGCACCTCCCTCGTCCCAGTCCCCCTCCAGCCTTGCTGAGGCCAGCATCCTCTGGGCGCTGAGCTCTCGGCATCTGTTTGCATATCGACCAATGGAATTTACGGGGCATTCGCTTTTCTTCGTCTCCCTACTAAGTCCTTTCCCTGTCCGTCCCACGCCCCCGAGTTTGGAATTGGCTTCACCTGGGGAAATGGATGGACTTGGATGCGGGAAGAAAATGCAGCCGTGAGCCCAGGCGGCCAGCAGGGGGCAGCCTAGACCGGCGTCCTCCCAGTGGAGGTGGCCGGTGGGAGCCGCTTACTGTGGTGGGAGCGCGGTCGGCTCGCACGGGGAGTTCCTGAGGGGCTGCGTCTGGGAGCCGGCGTCTGCTCCTCCGTCAGCCAGCGCTGCCGCTGCGCTGGTGGTCGGCAGGGCTGTGTGTTTCTGTGTCCCTAGTGCTTTGGGTGGCCTTGCCTCGCTGAGTTCTCCCGGCCGCACGCCAGGACTGTTCTCCGCCGCGTCTGCTGTGCAGTGATGATGCTGCCCCGCCAACCCGGCCTGGCTGTGCGGTGATGACACTGCTCCCCCGGCCTGGCTGTGCGGTGATGACACTGCTCCCCCGGCCTGGCTGTGCGGTGATGACACTGCTCCCCCGGCCTGGCTGTGCGGTGATGACACTGCTCCCCCGGCCTGGCTGTGCGGTGATGACACTGCTCCCCCGGCCTGGCTGTGTGGTGATGACACTGCTCCCCTGGCCTGGCTGTGCGGTGATGACACTGCTCCCCTGGCCTGGCCTGGCTGTGCAGTGATGACAGTGCTCCCCTGGCCTGGCCCGGCTGTGCGGTGATGACGCTGCCCCGCCAACCCGGCCTGCCTGTGCGGTGATGACACTGCTACCCTGGCCTGGCCTGGCTGTGTGGTGATGACACTGCTCCCCCGGCCTGGCCCGGCTGTGTGGTGATGACACTGCTCCCCCGGCCTGGCTGTGCAGTGATGACAGTGCTCCCCTGGCCTGGCCTGGCTGTGTGGTGATTACACTGACTGCCCCCCAGCCCGGCTGTGCAGCGATGACACTGACTACCCCCCGGCCCAGGTGTGTGGTGATGACATTGACTGCTCCTCCTGCCCGGCTGTGCGGTGATGACGCTGACTCGCCCCCCAGCCCGGCTGTGCGGCGGCCACCCGGGCTGGGAGAGGCTCAGCTCAGCACAGCTCTGGCCCCTCCTCGGGAGTGGGAAAGGGGCCTGGTTCCGGGCGGTGCAGTTTTGCCAGGGTTTGCGTCTTGGGACGCTGCGTCCATAGGAGTGGGGAGTCCTAGGGAGGCGTGGGGGCGGGAGGTGGGCCCATCCCACCTGACTGTGCGTGGGGCCCTGAGCAAGCCCTGAGTGAAGGACCAGGCCCTGCCCCCGGGTGCTCATAGACCGGGAAGGAGGTAGACCAGAACCCAAATGACTGGAAGAGGTTGTACAGGAAGAGGAGAGGAGACCCAGAGGGTTGTTGGAACAGTATCAGTGATAGAAGCAGCTGCCTTGGGGGGCTTGTGCTAGTGCTCTCTGTACATTGGCTCATTTGATCCTCCTAGCAGCACCTGAGGGAGGTCTAGACCTTTGTCTTATAGATTAGAGGCTAGAGGTTCAGAGAGGTTAGGTGACTTTTCTAAAGTCACACAGCTGATGGGGCAGAGCTGAGATTTGATCCCAGCCCCTCACTGGGAGCTTCATGCAGGCGGGGATTATGTCCTTTTTGTCCCTTTGTGCCCAGTGACCAGCACGGGATCTGGGACGTGGTAGCTGCTCACAGTATTTGTGGTTGAATGGTGGGCTCCTAAGCCGGTGCTCTTAACCACCCTTCCAAACAGTTTTCAGAAGAGGGAGAGAGCCTTCCCCTGGGGAGCTGGAAGGGTCCCGAGGAGGCATGTCCTATGGCTTGGGCTGTGAAAGCTGGATGTGATTTCATCAGTGATGGCTGGTGACAGAGGGTTGGGCCCTCCTGGGGGAGGGAGCCCACTGAGCAAAGGTGTGGAGCTAGGAAGGCTTTCTGGTGACTGGAAATAGCAGGTGACCCAGGTGGGCCAGGTTGTAGGGTGTGTGGAAAGGAAGGTGAGGGAGAAGCTTGAAAACCCGGACAGGAAGTTTGCATCAGTGACAGCGCTGTGCACTGGGAGTCTGCCCTGCCACAGTGTGAGACGGGCTGGGGTGGGGACGCCAGGCAGCCGCTGCACGGGAGGGCGGGGGAGGAGATCGGTGTCATGGTGGGGGCTGGGGGCAAGCCATTGGGTCCTGTCTCTGGCGACAAGCGCGTGCATGTGTGTGCGTGTGCAAGTGTGAGTGAGTGTGTGTGTACATATGTCCATATGTGTGTAAGCTGAAGAGGGAAGCAGCCTTGGGGCCAAGCCTGGCCTTCCAGGGTGTGAGATGCTTGACCACCTGTGGCCATGGCCTTGGTAATCAAGGAGCAGGGTCAGAGGTCTGTGGCTTCTCAGGCTCTGGCCTCTCTGGTCCCTCGTCCCCTTCCCACAGTGCTCTTCTTCCCTTTGCCCGGTCTGGGGTGGTAAGAGGGCACTGCCTTGGAATCCTTCCTTCGGTCGTGAGACCTTGGCGTGTGAGGGAGGGTCCAGGTGAGGATGGGGCTGCAGCTTCTCTCAGTCACTCCTAGACTCTGGGCATTCACAGAGTTGGGGCCGCTTATCTGAAAACCTTTCTGGAATGAGGTGATGTCTAAATAAATAGAATATGATGGGCCTGGAACTGCGGGGCCAGCCTCTGCCCTGTATGCTTGCCTGGGTGGAGGAGGGTTGGCTGGAAATGTCTTTGAGGACGTCTGGGCCTGATGGTGTGGGCACAGGGCCCCCGAACATATACTCAGAGTGTGGGAATTTGGTAAAACCAGGCCAGTGCTCTGGCCTCAGCACTGGGAGGCACACTGAGTGAGCAGGGATCCCAGAAGCCAGAGCTGAAGCCACACGGCCACATGGCTGGCTGGGCAGGTCTGCACCCTCACTTGCTCCCATGTAGGTGGGTCCTTCAATCCCCTTATTTCACTGGCTACCTGCAACTTGCAAAGCCCTGGGGAGGGGCTGGGAGAGAGCTCCCTGGGCACTCACTTCACAGCCCCTTCTCTTCCTTCTCTGATACCCACCAGTCTCTGTTTGGACCTTATGATGCCAAAACAGGAGCAAAACTGCTCTCCATCGGTTTCTCAAGGGAAATGTCACTGGTTGCTGGGGACACAAGAACACAAGGGGCGAGAGGACATCATCTGTTTATATTGGTGGCTGGGGCAGGAGGGGCTGCAGAGCAGACCTGGGGACTTTCTCACCCTAGCGTCGAGTCCTGTTTCCTTGTGCCCTAACACAGCTTGGAATGCACGGAGGACCCAGAGATGCAGACCCTCTGGGAGGCACGTGCTAGCTGCGGGTTACTGCCCTGCAGTGTGGATGGACAGGGATTTTTCTGGGGCGGGTGGTGGAGGGAAAGGATGGGTAAGAGGACCCCACCATTGACCAGGTGTGCAGGACACTGCTCAGGGTGAATGCCCAGGCACTGAGGGTCTTGGGGTTTTCAGGAATTTGCCACCTTAACCCGGGAGCTGAGCACATGTCGGGAGCAGCTTCTTGAGCGGGAGGAAGAGATATCAGAGCTGAAAGCCGAGCGGAATAACACAAGGGTAAGCGGGGGGCCTGGCATGCGTTCGTGGGGGGTGTGAACCCTTGGACCAAGGAGCAGGCATGGCCAGGGCCAGGTGCATCCCAGCGCCACCCTTACCTCTTCCTGGCTTAGGTTCTGGGGGATAGTGAAATCATTTCATCATCAGTGCTCGGCTTTTCACCTGTGGTTGGGGGATTGTGGGAAGGTCGGCGTCCTGGGACACAGGCCAGGCAGCTGGCTGGCGGTGGGTCTTCAACTGGGGCAGGAGCTGTTTACCAGCATGGAGCTTCATGAGCGTTTCAACTGTGGTACACATGGCTGTACTTGTGTCTACTTGGTGGCCATGTGGGCCCTGCTCGTGGACCCGGGGCACATGCTTACAGCCCTCCCTCTCAGCCCTCCCTCTCACCCCTCCCTGCTCACTGCCAGTTGCTTCTGGAACATCTGGAGTGCCTGGTGTCCCGCCATGAGCGGTCACTGCGGATGACTGTGGTGAAGCGCCAGGCCCAGTCACCTTCAGGGGTCTCCAGTGAGGTGGAGGTGCTGAAGGCCCTCAAGTCACTGTTCGAGCACCACAAAGCCCTGGATGAGAAGGTACCCAGCCTGGCCCACCCCCGCCTACCCTCCGTCCAGCCAGGCTTCCCTGGAACCGCTACATGTCCCTTCTCTGCGAGTTCTGCATCCTGTGTTTTGGGAGAGCTGCCTTCTGGCTTCATAACTGGCTCCCTCCTACCACTGGCCCAATTTCCAGGTTCTCCTTATTAGGTTCCCTCAGAAATTTGCCTCTTTGTCTCACACCCAACAGTGGTAGACCAAGCCTGGGCTCCTCCAGCCTGAGTCCAGTGGGGTTCCCATTTCTTCCTCCATCTCCCCTTACCTTGGGCAGGTGCGAGAGCGGCTCCGGGCAGCCCTGGAACGAGTTACGTCCTTGGAAGAGCAGCTGGCAGGTGCCCATCAGCAGGTGAGCTGCCTGCCCCCTCCGTCTGCAGACTGCAGCTCCTGGAAGCCCAGGCCGGGTCACCCCTTTGCCCCGCTTTGTTCCTCCTCGGGTTTCTCCCTGCTGCCTTGGCTGGGGACTACCAGCCTCTGGGAGGCAGGGCCTTAGGAGGGCCTGGAGTGTGTAGGAGGTTCTCCTCTCTGACTCACTGCCCTGGGGCTGTCCCCTGCAGGTGTCTGCCCTGCAGCAGGGGGCAGGGCTGCAGGATGGATTGGCAGAAGAGGAGGGGACTGTGGAACTGGGACCAAAGCACCTGTGGAAGGTGAGTCATGGGGAGCTGCACAGCAGGGGCATGTCTTCCCCCAGATGGGAGGGGGGCCTGCGCTGCTGAGGTCACTGGAGCTGCTGCCTGAATTAAATCGGTGCTTTCTCCAACATTCCCACCTCTCTTTCCTTCTTTCACTACCCCATCTGCAGAGACACCTGTAGGTTTTTGTTTTAGTGCCCAGCACACTTGAATTGTTAGGTGCTGTCTGCCTGTGTGTCAGCTTCAGGCAGGACGCCTTCTCTCTCTGAGCCTCCTGACCCCTAGTCATGCTCCTTTCTGGGTTACCAGAGGCTGAGACAGCAGGTGAAACTAGAACTTGTTTTTCCAGAGATGCACAGGAGAGCGAGGCTATCTGATCACTCTCTGGACTAAGCTCCAGGGCCCAGGGGAAGGAGGGTACCTGGAGGTGTGCTCTGAAATTAGGGGCAGTGCTGTGACCTGCTCTGGACGTGCTGTTCCTCCTCCCGCCTCCCTGGGGCGGGGCAGGGGAGTGGGATCCCTGGGCTCCAGTGACTGACTGTGGCCCCCTGTCCCTGGAGGAGGATGTGGGCCGGGTGGAGGAGCTGCAGGAGCTCCTGGAGAAGCAGAACTTTGAGCTGAGCCAGGCCCGGGAGCGACTGGTCACCCTGACAGCAGCCGTGGCTGAACTTGAGGAGGACCTGGGCACGGCCCGCCGGGACCTCATCAAGTCGGAGGAGCTGAGCGGCAAGCATCAGCGGGACCTCCGAGAGGTGAGCAAGGGCCCACCTCACTCTCTCCTGCCGGGTGCAGGCATTTGGCGCTTGGGAGGGCAGCTGGCTCGACGCCTTGGGCATGGAGGGAGGGCCAGGCGAGGGCAGGAAGACCGAACTCCTGGTGGGGTCCAGTGTGCGGAGGTTGGCGGGGAGGGATGGGTAGGGCCAGAAAGTGGCAGGGCAGTGTGGAAGACACAGCCAGGCAGGTGTTGCTGGTGAGGTGCCCACAGGATGGGGGAGGGAGAAGCTTATGACCTTCCCTCCCACGCCCTCCTTTCCTGCCCAGGCTCTGGCCCAGAAGGAGGACATGGAGGAGCGGATCACCACGCTGGAGAAGCGCTACCTGGCTGCTCAGCGTGAGGCCACATCCATCCATGACCTCAATGACAAACTGGAGAATGAGCTGGCCAATAAGGAGTCCCTGCACCGCCAGGTAACTCTCCCAGATGGGGGTGAGGCACTGTACTTGACTCTGGAGGTCCCGATGTTCACGCCAGAACCTTCCCTTGATGGCCCAGGGGCCCCTGGGGCTGCAAGTCACCTTGGGAAAGGGGCAGTCAGGCATCTTTGGCAGCCAGGAACCAAGGCTGTCCCTTGCTGCTTCTGCTGGTCTGCTGAGGCTGGGTGGGCTGGGGAGGCTTCGATGCCCCCTCTTGACTCTTCCCCACCTCCACTGTGCTAGTGTGAGGAGAAGGCCCGACACCTCCAGGAGCTGCTCGAGGTGGCAGAGCAGAAGCTGCAGCAGACGATGCGCAAGGCTGAGACGCTGCCAGAGGTGGAGGCTGAGCTGGCCCAGAGGATTGCAGCCCTCACCAAGGCAAGTGGACTGGGGCCTGGGGGCCTGCCTCTGTCCCCTGCTTCCTGAGCTCTCATGGAGCCAGGCGGTGAGTGGAGAGAGTGGGAGGCACGTGGGGCTGGGAGCTAGGAAACCTGTGCTCACTGTGTGACTCTGCTCACTGTGTGACTGTCCGTGTCTGTCAATTGGAAGCGCACGCCCAGCCATTGTCGCCCCACAGGGGTGTGAGGTGCTGGGGGAAGCAGAGGAGACTGCTGACACAGTGTTCTCTTGTCGTTCATACCTTGTGGTTAATAACTTCCTTCTGTTGGTCTGGGGTGGAAAATTAGGACTTCTGTCTCTGGAGGGAAGGAATCTGCGAGGAGATATGGCCAAAGTCTGTATATCCTTGAAGGGGTGGCAAGTGGGAGTTTAGGATGAGCATACCTTTCTTTATCAAGACGAAGCCTTCTAGATGTGGGGCCACCCCTGGTTGCTTGAAGCCTGCAGCTTTAGCACGAATAAAAGGAAATATGATTTTACCCCGTGGACAGTTAACTTTCTGGAATAGTAATAATTCCTAAGAGGTGTGCAGGCTGAAAACAGAATAGGCTCTGGGAGAGCTTGGTGGATGCATGGACACAGACGGTTGGTGGGTTCATCATGAGAATCAGTAGTGTTTGCAGCTGGCTGGAGGGTTACTGGGGACTCCATAACTCCCCCCACCCATGGGGAGAAGGAAGCCAGTGTCTCATCCTCCAGAGGCTGGCCAGTGTGTCACTGTGGCAGTTTGGGGTCCTGGGGATGGAGCCTGCAGCCTGGCTGTCCCTTGGTAGAGCCAGGACCACGTCTGTATCTGCCACTGGCTGGCTCTGGGACCTGGGAAAAGTCCCTCCCTCTCTACTCAGGCATCAGTGTTGTTAGCTATGATGATGTCATCATCTCTATGATGACACTGTTGTCTCTATGATGACATCATCAGCTTTACGCTGATGGGATTGGGCTTGGTGGTCTCTAAGGTTTTCCAGCCCCTAGGATGAAGGGCTGGGTTTCAAGTGCAGCAGAGGATGTTATGGGTGGAATGTTGAGCAGTCAGCTTTAGTGTCTTCCAAAACTGGCAAGAAGGGATGAAGTGATTTGGATGTTGAAGTGAGTCATAGGAGGAGGGCTTTAAGGATGGACTTCCTGACTGGAAGAAGAGTGCCAGTCTGGAGTATCTTGTCAGCAGAAGCAGTGGGGTCTCATCTCTGGGAATCCATGAACAGAAGGGGAGACCACTCTACCTGGGCTGGTTTCATAATGAAGAGAGTAACCACGGCTGGCATTTGTTGACTGCCTGTTGTATCCTCAGTGTTTGCCATGGCTTATCATTTAGTCCTCACAGTGGTCCGGTGGGCATAGGTGCTGTTAGTATCCCTGTTTTACAGTTTAGAAAACTAAGGCCCATAGAGGTTCAATAACCTGCCCAAGGTCACGCAGCTGGGAAGAGAGCAAGCCAGGATTTGAACCCAGGCAGTCTGGCTTGGGTTCATGCTCTTAAATGCAGGTCCATGTATCTGGAGGCAGAGAGGAGATTTATGGTAGCTCATGCTTTCAAGTGGAGTTTTTTTCTGCAAGTGTGGGGAAGACTTTACAGTCTCTTGAGCTCCCAGCTCTGGGATGCTTTAAGGCAGGCCCTGAGCAGCGAGAAGGGGTTGCGGGGGGAACCTGGCAGTGGTGCTGGCAGTTCTGCTCCCAGATGATAGGCTGGGCTTTGTTGATACCTGAGGCCCTGATCCCCAAAGACCACCCTGGCACCAGTGTGCCGGGATATGAGGCCTGAGCAGGAGGCAGATGATCCGCAGGCTGCAGTGACCCATCCCTGCCCTTAGGCTGAAGAACGGCATGGCAATATTGAGGAGCACCTGCGGCAGCTGGAGGGCCAGCTGGAGGAGAAGAACCAGGAGCTGGCAAGGGTGAGGGCACCGGCCGGGCTCTCTGCCCCTAGGGCAGCTTCCCAGGGCGGACTGTGGGTGGGGCATGGAGGAAGTGGGAGCTGGGGAAGGACCTGGCCAGGGACAGAGTCACAGAGGGGCAGGAGGAAGTGGTTAGGAGAACTGGAGAGAGGGGACAGGCGAGCAGGGTAGAACCAAAGAGGGTGGCTGGCTCCCTGGGACGGTGGAGAGATGGCCCCGGTGTGGGCTGGTGCGAGGTGGCCTGGCTGTGCAGGTGCGCCAGCGGGAGAAGATGAACGAGGACCATAACAAGCGGCTGTCTGACACCGTGGACCGGCTGCTGAGTGAGTCAAACGAGCGGCTGCAGCTCCACCTCAAGGAGCGCATGGCGGCCCTGGAGGAAAAGGTGCGTGGGCCGGGGTGGGTGGGGCTGCAGGAAGGGGGCGGGGCCGCTGGTAGGGGCGGGGTTGGGATGGGAGAGGTTGGTCAGGGGCGTGGAGTGAGGCTGGGAGGGGCGGGGCGGCCTGCGGAGGCGGGGCTGGGAGGGGGCTGCAGACCGAGGATCAGGTTGGGCAGCGAGGCGGGGGCCGGCTGGAGCTGATGGAAAGGGCGCGGGGTGGGCTCACAGCTGTTCTTCCCCAGAATACGCTGATCCAGGAGCTGGAGAGCTCCCAGCGGCAGATTGAGGAGCAGCACCATCACAAGGTACAGCTGCCGGCCAGCCCACCGGCCGTGCTGTGAGCAGGGAACACACCTGTGCCGTGGGCAGCTGCTCTGACAGCCAGCCTGTGCCAGCCCAGTTGTCGGTCCATGTACATACCTGATCTCACTAATCCTCAGTAGAGCCGTCATGGCGGATGCATCACCACCCATAGAAGAAACTGAGGCCGTAGGCATAGGCACAGAGTGGGCAGCAGAGAGGCAGGCCCAGTGCAGCACTCAACACAAGTATCTCACACTTGGTGAGGCTAGAGTCCCGTGTTTCTGGGAGGATTAGCTACATCCCTGCCTTGGCAGTGGCCATGAGGTCTGCGAGGGCACCAGGGCCCTTCTGCTGCCCAGCCTCGTTTGCCAGGCATTTGTGTGGTGGTGAGGGCCCAGCAGGCCTATCTGGTAGAGTCCTTCCCCAGACAGATCCCGCTTCTGGCCCTGCCCCTCTGCCTGCCTGCTGCTGACCCTTCTGCTCACTTTCCAGTTGGACTGCTTCTCTTTTGGTGTCATCTGTGGGCCTGGCCTGGGGCCCCCGGCTTTGAACTTTGTGGTGCGTTCTTCTGCTTCTCCCCAACTCTGCTGTCCTCTTTGTCCCTCTCTCCCTTCTCTGCCCTTCCCTGGTCCCCACCCCCACCTGGGTCTGCCTGGCACAGGGCCGCCTATCCGAAGAGATTGAGAAGCTGCGCCAAGAGGTGGACCATCTGAAGGGTCGAGGGGGGCCGTTTGTGGATGGCGTCCACTCCAGGTACTGGAGCACGGGAGGCTGGGCGTGCGAGGATGGGGTCCTGGATGGACTCTGAGGAGGGAAACTTCTTCCCACCAAATGCAGTGGGCCTGTGGTTCCAGCATATTCCTCAGGGTCTTGAGTGACAGCCTTCTGCTGGGAAGAGCCCCAGCTACCGGGCCACACGGCTCCAGGTCAGAGTCCAGCTTTGCTGGCTGCTTGATCTTGATCAAGGGGTCTTTACAGTGGGACTAGTGACGGCTTCTCATAGCTTTTGGCCTGGTTTCTAGTGTACCATATGTACTCTTAATGCCAGCTTCTTTTCTCAGCCTCGTCTGCCCTCCTCACTGTCTCCTTCCGTCTCGCTCTGCAAGCCCAGGACCTTAGGGTCTGCCTTCTGCTCTGGGTGGGACACTGAGGCTCAGAGAACTTGGTCAGAGTCGCCCAGCTCATGAGGGCAGTTGAGAAAGGGTCACCTGTCCTCTGAGGGATGCTGAGAGGCACGTAAAGCACAGGATGCTCCTTCCCCAGTGCTGTGGGACAGGCTCTGCCTCCTGCTGCTCTGACAAAGGGTATGCCCTTGAGAGGGGTCTGCTGAGTTACGTGCTCACCTGTGTCCCACGGGGCCCGCTCGTGGGAGTGTCCGGTTCGCTCTAGTTCTTTTGAGACGCCGTCTTTAGGGCTTTGGAGCATTGCGGTTGAGGAGTCGAGGGCTGCCTCGGTTCAGGCAGCACATGGTGGGCAGAAAGGCAGCGGGAGAGACTGAGATGAGGCATCAGGAGCTTCCTTCCTGTTGGAAGCTGAGATGCCATGTTACTCCTGGTTGTGGCGTCCCTTTTCCTGAAAATGTTTTAAGAGATGTGAGTGGAGCTCTCCACCTAATGCTTGAATTAGGGCTACATTTCAGGGAGCTTCTGGATTTTTCTTCATATTTTGTAAAGCAGTTGATATTGAACTCAGACCTCAAGCCTGTGCTCAGTTCTCTGCCCAGAGAGGCAGGGTGAAGGCCACGGAGATGGAAGTGGGTCATGCCTCTCACGGCTCCTGGCTCCTGGCTGTTTTCTCTCCACTCCAAAGTCTCTCAGATCAGAACCCTTGAGGTTCCTTTCGCTCTGCTCTTGCTGTTAGGGAAATAGGGATCAGCTTCCCTGAAGAGAGGTTAAAGGAAACGTGTATATGTGCGGAGGGGCAGAGCTTGAGTTAGGGAGGGGAGGTTGAGTTTGAAGAAGAGAAGCCTGTAGGCGTCTGGGGTGGCAGGAACTGAGGTGCCATCTTCCGGTTCATCAGGCATTGTACAGGAGCCTGGAGATAAGCAGGGGACAGGCGGAAAATTGCAGTTGGATACTTCCTGTTTCTCCCTTCCTGTAGGTCGCTCGGAAGAGACCGACCCCCAGTTAATAAGACATGGTCCAGAGTACACGAAGCTGTTTGCCACGGCCTGGTGTACCTTAATGTATGGGAATTCCTGGCTTTGACTAGGGGAGCGCTGGACCCATTGTGGAGTTGGGGCTGAGCTGCAGGGGAGAAGACGGGGACAAACAGAAGCGCCCCTCTCCCTCTAGCTGCCTGTGTGGGCTGTCATAGGTGCACCCCGTCCCTTTGCACTGGGCTCCCTAAAGGGTTCCAAACTGGGAAGGCATAGGGAAGAAGTGTCACTGATATTAGAGGATCATTACTGGGATCCTAAGGCCTCAGGGTTGGAACAGACAGTGGGGGCAGTCAAAGTGGTTTCTCTGGCCCGTGTGTCTGATACAGTGTCAGGGCCTCCCGAAGCTTCCTGGGGGTATGCCTGGGTTGAATTTCTGCCAGGGACTCAGTCCGTATTATGGGGAGCCCTGGGGAGAAGACCAAGAAACAAAGGCCCTTGGAGTTAAAAGGGCCTTTAGAGATCATCCCTTGCAATCTCCCTCAGTGCTGGGCACCCCCCTACTTCTTGTCAGATGGCCAGAGAGCCTCGGCTTGAATACCTCTTTGATGGGGAACGCAGCTTTTTTAAAGCCGCCAGTTGCATCATCAGCCAACTCCTGCCTTTCGAACGTACTTCTTATGTTAAATGGAAAGATGCCTCTCTAGAACTTTCTCTCCTGGATCATTCTGATCTCTGGAGTACCAGAGAATAAATCTAATCTTTTGCATACATGGCAGCCCTTAAAACATTTACAATAGCTCTATGTCCTGCTAGGATTTCTCTTCTCCAAGCTGAAGACCCCTCACTCTTTGGGCCCAGTGGTGGTGAGCTGGGGCTCCCGGTCCTCAGAGCTTGTCTTTTCTCCTCCCCCCCCCCGACTCAAGGTCACACATGGGCAGCACAGCGGACGTGCGGCTCTCTCTGAGCACAGCCACCCATGCGCCCCCAGGTCTGCATCGCCGCTACTCAGCACTACGGGAGGAGTCTGCCAAGGTGAGGGGTGGAGGGGTGGGAGTCTCCCTGGGGAGTTTGGGGTCAGTTCGGCCGCGTGCCTGGCTCCAGTTTCACAGACGGCTGGCGTGCGGCGCAAATCCTCCCCTGCCCTCCCCTGTGTGGACGACAGCTGCAGCCCTGGGGTCGGGGCCGTCGTCAGCTGCAACAGCTGTGTCCCCCCCTTGCCTTGGCCTCCTGGTGGGCGAGAGATAGGGGCTGGCGGGCGGCCAGCCAGTCCCTGAGGCCCCCCGAAGCGTGTACACGTGTGCCTGGGTGTGCAGGCGTGTGTTTCTGGTGGCTGGGGTGGGGGATGCAGGGCAAGATGCAAATGGCAAGCTTTCTGGAATAAAAGTTGTGGTTTATGAGGGCGACGAGGGAGGGATGGCAGGGTAACTGGCCCGTGGGATGGGACCTGAAATCTTCTGAGAAGCAGCTCTGAGTTCCTGCTGAGTCCGTCTCGGGGGTTTGTCAGGAAACAGGAAAAACAAGGGGCAGAAAAGTGCTATTCCTTCCTGCTTCCTTCTGGTTCTAGGAGCACAGCTGTTGCCCTGGAGCTCAGACTTAGGCTGCAGGAGCTGGAAGGGGGCCCTGCGGGGAGCTGGGGGCTGGGTGGTGGAGGACCGGCAAGAGCAGTGTCCCAGCCCGTTCTGGCTCTTGCCTCTTCTGGGCCTTTGTCCACCGAAGAGGTCTGTAGGATGCTTTCTGAGAAGCCGCCTCCTCCCAGGGGTCACTGGAGGGTTCTGCGCCACGCTGAAGCTCTGAGACACAGGGCTGGCCTGCAAGGCCTTCTCGTGTTCCCTGGCTCTAGTCCTCCTTGTCTTCAGAGAGACTGATGGCCTTTCTGTGCTGCTTACTTTGTACTCCACACCGTGCTCCATGCTTCATATGCATTTCCTCACTTCATCCTCACACACGCCTACCAAGTAGGTATTACTATTATCCCCATTTGACAGATGAAGAAACAAAGGCAGAGAGAGGTTAAACAACTTTTCCATGGTTGCACAGCTAGGATTTGGTGGAGCTGCGAGTCAAAGCAAGACAGTCTCTCTCTGGAATCTGTCGTAACCACTCTGCTATCCAGCTCCTTGAGTTAGTTAAAGTAGTATTTCTTTTTTTTTTTTTAAAGATTTTATTTTTTTCCCCAAAGCCCTCCAGTACATAGTTGTATATTCTTCGTTGTGGGTCCTTCTAGTTGTGGCATGTGGGATGCTGCCTCAGTGTGGTTTGATGAGCAGTGCCATGTCCGCGCCCAGGATTTGAACCAACGAAACACTGGGCCACCTGGAGCGGAGTGCGCAAACTTAACCACTTGGCCATGGGGTATTTCTTAGTGGTATTTCTTAGTAAGGTTTCTTAGCAGTATAGAGTAGTATTTCTTAGACTTCAATGTGCAGGTGACTCACCCAGAGACCCTGTTAAAGTGTGGACTCTGAATCAGCAGGTCCAGGGTGGGGCCTGAGCCCTTGCGTTTCTAACAGGCTCCCAGGAGATGCCAGGCTGCGGGTCTTGGTGGGGAGGGCTCTGCTCCTCAGTCCCCCGCTGTGCCTTGTTGCTATCCTTTACCCTCCTTCTTTGCTAAGGACTGGGAGCCATCTCCGCTGCCTGGGGTGGTGGCCCCCGCGGCCGCCCCTTCCTTTGACAGTGACCCTGAGATCTCCGATGTGGATGAGGATGAGCCAAGGGGTCTGGTGGGCTCCATGGATGTTGTCTCCCCCAGTGGCCACTCAGATGCCCAGACGCTGGCCATGATGCTGCAGGAGCAGCTGGATGCAATCAACGCGGAGATCAGGTGTGGGGGCGGAGGGCGTGGGAGCCTTGAAGGACAGTGGGCCCTCTGTTTGGCTCCTGCAGGAAAACTCCCGCACGCGCTAGCTTGTTCTTCCAGCTGACCTTAGAGTGCACGGTGTGGGGGCCCTGTGGGCCATCAGGCCAGGTGCTGGGCCGGCGTGGACAACGCGGGCGGGACCCCAGCTTGGCTTCTCAGGCTTGGTTTCCCTCCCAGGGCCGTGGGAGGCTGTGTTCCCCCAGTTTGTGCAGCTCAGCGTAATCACCAAGTGTGTAGCTCCCCTTTGCCAAGGCCACCTCGGGGGGCTTTGTGAATGCTAGTGTCAGTCTCACCACTGTTCCAGGGAGGCAGCCTTATCTCCACTCTACAGACAAGGGAACAGTAACCAGAGAGGTTCTGTGATTTGCCTAAAGCAACACAGTAAGTGGCAGAGCCAGGATTGAAACTTGGGTGTAAACTTGGTGCCCTGGGCCACGGCTCCCGTCCCTAATGAGGCATCAGACAGAAGCCAGCCACAGGGAACACTATCAAGACCCACATTCTTCCTGCCTTTGAGGAGAGTTGTTAATGTTTCTGACAAACGGCAGGCGAAGTCCAAGTCGGTCATCAGAGCTTTTCAGGCCACGGGTCGTCTGGTTCAGTGGTTCCCACACTGGGTCTCACAGACCAGTTGGAAAGAGAACCTCACACACAGGCACAGCCCCACATGGGAGGGTGTTCAGGTAGGACTGCCAGCTTCATTCCGCAGAGTCAAACATTAAAGGCAACCACGTTTCCTATCACGACCATTCTACAGAGGGAAGGACAGTGAAACATCCTTGAAGCTGGGAGACACTTTCAGAATAAAGTCCTGCTCCTCACACACGGTTGGCATCTGTGTGTCAGTGAGTGCGTGTGTGTGACTGTGCATACACACGCTCCCCGAGTGCCCCCCACATTATCATTATCGTGCCCCTTTTCCCATGGGACAGGGAGGACTCTGTCGGGGGTCAGCATCCAATAAGGGTCCTATGCCTGGGAACTGCTGACTTGGGGCATATTGGGAGACTGAGGCCTGGCTCGGGGGTGCCCCTGTGGTTAGTCAGGTAGTTAGGTTGACAGGCTGACGTCCGGGGTGGTCTGCACCTGCTGACCACGCTGCCTTCTTTCCTAGCACCTGTGTTGGTTAAACTGGGGAGTTTTGTTACGTTAGGCAGCTACAAGAAAGAGAGAAGGATGTTTCTAAGCTACAGAGGGATAGAACCCCCTATGCTGCGAGATCTTGCACGTCTGGGCAGTGCCAGAAACAACAGGGCTCCCCTGGGCAGTGCCTCCTGCCTGGGCTCACAGGGCGGTGGGTGCAGGCGGTGCCCAGCGCCTGCCTCCTGCTGGCCTTGCAGGACTAATGCTGAGGTCCAGTTTGGCCCATCCCCCAGGATGATCCAGGAGGAGAAGGAGTCCACGGAGCTCCGAGCTGAGGAGATCGAGACGCGGGTGACCAGCGGCAGCATGGAGGCCCTGAACTTGACCCAGCTGCGTAAACGTGGTTCCATCCCCACCTCTCTGACCGCCCTGTCCCTGGCCAGCGCATCCCCTCCCCTCAGTGGCCGCTCCACACCTAAGCTTACCTCCCGCAGTGCTGCCCAGGACCTGGACCGGATGGGGGTCATGACCCTGGTGAGAGTCTTGGGTAGTTGATGGACACCACCATCATGACTGGGCTCTGCTCTGGGGGCTGCCCGGGGGAGTCGACAAGCATGGGAGGGCTCCTTCTTCAGTCAGGCGCACGTGTTCTTCCCAGGATGTGTGCAGAGCCCGGCATGTCAGGCTGCCACTGTGTCCTTCTGGATCGGAAAGGGCCTGAGGGGCTCCCCCACTGCCCACACTCTTCGTCTCTCCCAGAGGTAGCCCTGGTGTATTTTCTGGGCCAGCTTTTTTTCTGCTGTGATATGCTCCCCAGGCCTGTGTGAGGCACTGAATCCTATCTTCTCATCCTAAGACCACTGGGCTCCCCTTGGGGTTAAATTCTGGGCATCCAGAGGGTGAGTCCGAGCTCACCCTTCACTTTCTCTTCCAGCCCAGTGACTTAAGAAAGCATAGGAGGAAGCTGCTGGTGAGTATTCCTGATGACCCAGGTGCTAATGGGTTAATTCTCCCAGGCCCTTCCCTTTGGCTTCTCCCCACCCTGGGAACTCAGGCCCCAGGGCCTCCCCACTGCATTTCTCCATTCTCCTCTGCCTCGTCTGGGCTGGGTAGGCAGGCCCCTGGTCTCTGCCTGTATTCCCTGACAGCTCCACTGTCTGTTCAGTCGCCAGTGTCTCGGGAAGAGAACCGAGAGGATAAAGCCACCATAAAATGTGAGACTTCTCCTCCTTCCTCACCCAGGACGCTGCGGCTGGAGAAGCTTGGCCACCCAGCCCTGAGCCAGGAAGAAGGCAAGAGGTAAGGGGAGCAGGCCTCACCTTGAGTCTCTCCACCCCAAGGCCATCTCCTCCCTCCCTCTGCCTCTGAACGGGCTGCATCTCACCTGTCCCAGGTGTCTGGACGTCTGACTTCTCTTTGAAACACCATCAGGGAAGGATAGTTCCATGGCTCCTTGGGTCACCTGCTCTGATCATACCCCCTCACCCCCACCCCAACTCTGTCCTTCCTGAGGTCTGACTTGCATCTGTCCTGCTGTAATTTAAGTGTCTTCTTCTCATCCCGCCCCCTCCTGGCTGTCATCCTGTAGTGCTCTGGAGGATCAGGGCAGCAACCCCAGCAGCAGCAGCAGCAGCCAGGACTCCTTGCACAAGGGCGCCAAGCGTAAGGGCATCAAGTCGTCCATCGGCCGCCTGTTCGGGAAGAAGGAGAAGGGCCGGCTGATCCAGCTGAGCCGGGATGGAGCCACGGGACACGGTCTCTATCCCCTTCCTAGCAAATGGGTGCGAGCGTGGGGTCAGAGCAGGAGGTACACTCGGATCCAGCCTTCCCTGCCTGCCCGCAGGGCCCAGTGAGCGGAGACCCCAGGCAGGCGGGCGGCAGTCCACAGGAGCAGGAGCTTCCTGTTAGAGCTGTTCTCCAGCAGGACTGCCTCCTGTGGTGGCGGATCAGGCGGCGATGGATGGCGGTTTATTGGGGATGCTGTAGGAGGGCTTCCCATAGGAGTGAGAGTTGGACCTCTGGGGTTTCTCCCGATATGGAAGTTTTCCGGTGTGCTGTGCTCAGGACCTTCAGGAGGAGTTTCTTGGTTCCTCCTTTAGGAGCGTCAGTTCCTGATGAGAGCTGATTTCTGGTGCATCTGGCCTCCAGGACTCACAGTATCCTAATCCCTCCTCACAGCTTTATAGACGTTGTACCAAGGAAGTGCTTGGGCTCGTGTAGTACCTAGAGTCCCAGGGCGTGCGTGGCGGGTGCTGGGGCCTCAGTCAGTGTTAGCTGTCTCCGTCCCGCCCTCCCTCCTTCTCTTTCCCGCATCTGGTTAGTCAGTCAGTTGTCCAGCAGACATTTCGGGAGTAATTGCTGTAGACGAGGCTTAGGATGAGGGGTGGGAGCAGTTGTCCATTCCTTCAAGGAGCTCCATGTCTAATGAAAAGGGAAAAATAGAGATGATTCCCAAACAAGACAACGATAGAGCAGTGCCCGGGGTGCTCCTGGGACTCAGAACTGAGTCAGTGCGGTGGGGGCGACAGGAGTGGCTGCCTCTGCTGGGCAACACCTGAGCTGAAGCTTGAAGGCTACATAGGAATTCGCCAAGCAGAGGTGCAGGGGTGAGGGGAAGGGGGTCTGAGCAAGGCAAAGATTCTGGGTGTGGGAGTTTTGTATGCAGTTGAGTCTTTTCAGGGTGGGGAAGGGAGGGAGTGGGAAGAGTGGGGAGGCGGGCCTGGACTCTGGGCTGGGCCAGCTCTTAAGGGCCTTGCAAAGGCTGCGGGAGAGGTGTAGAAGTTCCTGGGAGGCAGTGGGAGCGTTGACGAATTTCATGCAGGGAGGAACCTGACCAACTATAAGAAGGGAACTTTTGAACTCAGGTGCATAATTTTGCCTTCCTGCACCTCTGGAGGGCTGAATCAGAACACAGCTAGCTGAGCGAGGAGGAGGAGGAGGAGGAGGAGGAAGAGGGGGAGAAAGAAGGAGGAAGGAGGAGGGGGAAGGAGAGGGGAAGGAAGGAGAGGGAGAGTGAGGAAGGAGGGAGAGGCAGGAGGAGGCGGAAGGGGAGAAGGAGGAGGAAGGGGAGGACAGAAGGCAGGCACCTCTGCTCAGGATGTGCAGCCTCAGCAGGGAAGGAGGTGGAGCCCCCTGCCCCCAGTCCACAGGGGATGCGGCGAGTCGTGGGGAGGGCCACAGATGTGGAGGAGAGGCGTTTCGTGTGGAGCTTTTGCCTGCCTCTGCGCCCCACACCACGCTGGCGCCTGAGTCTGAGGCAGCATCTCTCACTGGTTTCTGGATCACCCACACCTGCTGCCCTCTTCACTGTGCAGAGTGAGCGGGACTTAAATGATTTCTAAGGTGCTGCTCCTGTTGTGAGCCCTGTAGGGTGCTGGCCTCCCTTCAGGAGACCCTTAATAGAAGAGGACAGAGCTGTGCATGCTCCCCTTTGTGGTTTAGTGCAAATGAGCACCCCCTGAGAAAGAGGCTGACACTGTTTCCCCATCCCCGACCCAGGTCGGGATAATCCCCTCTGAGCCTGGTAGCCTGCTTGTGTAGCCCTGTAGCCACTCCTGTCTGGCTTTCTGGGTTCCTTTGCTCCGTGGTTTGGAGGAGGGACACGTTTTGTCTAGGATTCTGCTGCTGTTAGGGTGGGACAACTCCGGTCCACTAACTGGAAAACACCTCCAGGGCTAACTCCCCAGGGGAGACTGGGCTGAGGGTGACCTGCTCGATGCCACTGTGGGTTCACCTGGAGGCAGGGATGTCGAGCGGAGGCTCTAGGAATGATGGGTGGCCCCTCAGGCCCTCTTGGGCTGTCATACACGGCGGAGCCTCCTGCTGGTCTGCTCCCCAGTCCTAGCCCAGGCCACGGGAGGAGAAGCAGAGGGCCTGGCTGACACGCTGCCTTTCCCTTCTAGTGCTCCTAACAGACTCCGAGCTCGGTGTGCAGGAGCCTATGGTGCCTGCCAAGCTGGGGACCCAGGCAGAGAAGGACCGGCGGCTGAAGAAGAAGTAAGAGCTGCAGGCCAGGCTTTGCCCTTCCCCTGGGCTGCGTGGACGGAGCTCAGGCCACCAGAGTCCACCAAGGCCCCTTCTGAGCTGGGTTGGCCTGGTCCATGTGGGCACAGCAGGGGCTGGGCGGTGGCTCTTAGGATGACCCGCGGAAGGAGGCAAGGGGCTGTGGGAGAGTGACCCGGGCCTGCAGGTCTCTGGCAGAGCAGATTAAAATGTATGTGTCAGGCCATGTGCACGTCACCCTCTGGGGCTGGAGAGGTGTTCCTGCCCTACGTCTTGGTATCCTGTTGCTTCAGCACAGTGCACTGGGGTCGAGGCAGGGTACGGCACGGGGAGTGGGAGTCCAGCTCTTGGCACAGCCCGTCGTCCCAGGAAGTCAGCTTGGTGGAGGGAGGAGGAAGGACTAGTGAGTCTCTCGTTCCTCTTCCTCCAAGACACCAGCTGCTTGAAGATGCCCGCAGAAAAGGAACACCCTTTGCCCAGTGGGACGGCCCCACTGTGGTCTCCTGGCTGGAGGTAAGCTGGGCAGGGGAGTCTGCCGGGGTCCCGTGGGAAGGGTGTGTGGGGTGGGACGAGGACGACTCCGGCAGAGGGGTGGTGTCTCTAGAACCCCCCTCCCCCAGCAGACACACGTGCCAGTTACTTTGGAGGAGAATTGATGCTGCTCACGGCCGCCTCCTGGGCAGCTGGTGTGGATGAGGGACCAGTTACCACTACGCCGGAAGGTTCTCAGGGCCGGTTTGACTCTCCCATCACCCACGTGGTGTTGGAAAATCCCTCAACCTCCCCAGGCCTCAGGTTTTTGCTGTAAGGTGGGGAAGAGAGGTGCTGGATGATGGTCGTCTCCACATCTCTAAGCTGCTCTGCTCTACGTTCGCTGTTCTGAGACCATGGATGAGGCCAGGCCCTTGCCCCTTGCTATTGCCAAGCTCTGGGCAGCAGGGTCTACATCGTGGGGAAGGGCCTGAATTTACCCCCTGGGCCCCGTATCTGCAGCTCTGGGTGGGGATGCCTGCCTGGTACGTGGCTGCCTGCCGGGCCAACGTCAAGAGCGGTGCCATTATGTCGGCCCTGTCGGACACAGAGATCCAGCGGGAGATCGGCATCAGCAATGCCCTGCACCGGCTCAAGCTGCGGCTGGCCATCCAGGAGATGGTGTCACTGACCAGCCCCTCGGCCCCGCCCACCTCCAGGACTGTGAGTGGCCTCTGCCTCACCCAGGACACTTTCAGAAGCCCCTGAATAGTGTTTGCAGTGTCTCCCATTGGTCTTTGGGACGATGGTAGCATTGAGGCCTGCCCCTCCCATCCCATTCCCGCAGAGGGCTCCGCCTGGTGTCCAGGAGGGTGACTTTGATTCTAGGAGAACCTGTAGGCCTAGTTCCCTGCCTTCCACATTCCGCCCGTGGGCTCCGTCTCCCCGTCCCTACTCTGCCCACCGTTCCAGGTCCCTGCACAGAGTCGGCAGGATGGGACTCCTGGGGTTGGGGTTCTGTGTTGTTGCCAGATTGGGGAAGCAGAGGGTGTAGGCATTTGTGAATTCTGTCCTGGTCCTCCCAACTCTGCACAAGAATGCAGGCTACTCCACGACCCTTGGAGGAAGAGCTTTCATGTTGTCTGTCTCTGTGACGGGTCAGTCCTTATTCCAGAGCTGCACCGTTCATTCAGGAAATGTTTCTTGAGCACTTCTCTGTGCCGGGCTCTGTGCTAAGCAGTGTGGATACAGTGATAACAGAGTTGCTCAGAGAAAGGCAGTGAGCAGAGCCCTGGGCGGAGCCTGGGGGAGGACCCAGTGAAGGAGTTTGTTCTTGTCTTTGGGGCTCCCAGCCTGGTGGGGATCCTGGGGACCCACACGCAGGACCAGCTAGGTTTCCTTTCTGCCTGCAGTCTTCTGGGAACGTCTGGGTCACCCATGAAGAAATGGAAACTCTGGCCACATCCATGAAGACAGTGAGTCTGGCCCTCGGCTGGGTTGGGGCTGATGAGTCTCACGAGGGAGCGGGAGGGTCTTGGGCAGCCAGAGGGGGTGCTGCTGATCTCCCAGGAGCTCGGTGCCCCTAATGGGTGACTACTTCTGCTCGCAGTCTGGAGGGCTGTGCGAGAGAAGTGAGACTGGACAATGTGTGTGTGTCCCACTCCAGGGTCACGAGCTCACTCTGGCCACTGGGCTGCAGTGGAGAAGAGCTGGGCTTGGGAGTCTGTGCCTGTTCTGGGCCTGCAGCCAGAGCCCTTGCCTCTGTGCTTGGTCCTCAGAGGAGGAGCAGGGAGGATTGGGTCAGCCTGGCTCCCAGCCAAGCCTGGGAGGTGTGGAAGATGTTTTTGCCACATGCGCATTCGCTCCTCTCTCACCGGAAACACAGGCACGCACACCAGCCTGTGTTCTCTCTTGACTGTCTCAACCAGCTTCCCCTCTCACCACCTGCTCCTGGGGGTCTGTGCCCTCTCCCTGATGGGGCCTTTCTCTCTTGACTGCCCCAACCAGCTTCCCCTCTCACCATCCCCTCCCGGAGGTCCATGCCCTCTCCCTGGTGGGGCCCGGGTGGAGGCTGCCAGGTTTCTTGACTTTGCCTGTTTCCTCTGACACGCTGCGCCCATTCCGCTAGGACAGTGAGGAGGGCAGCTGGGCTCAGGTAAGACCCTCTTCCCTTGTACAGAACCAGCTCTCAGGAGTTGAGGACAGTAGGCTCCCAACGGGTTCTCTCCTCAGCTGGACTCTGAGTCCTAGTCTCTTAGTGTCCTCCTTCACCTGAAGAGCCTGGACACAGCTCCTCTCTGCCCTCTGTAGCTCCTCTGTCCTCATCCCCCTTTAGCTACTTCTGGTTTCTCAGGATTGCAGTGAGCAGCCCTGGAGGCTGTGCCTGCCTCTCCCCCAGTTTGACTCCCTCCCCAGGAATAATGAGACTTAGATGGGGAAGCCTCGTGCTCTCCTTGTCCCTCAGGGGCACCCTGGTGAGCTGAATGAGGCCTTCCATCCATCCATCCGTCCATCCATCCATTCATCCATCCATCCATTCATTCATTCAGGGAGCAGATGCCTCCAAGCATCTACCAGGGGTTAGGCCTTCTAGGCTCTCTGGGTACAGAGTGAACAGACTGAGCCCTTGTGGGGCTTCCGTTCTAGGGGAAAAACAGGCAGTAAAGAGACAGACAGATGGACAGATGTCAGACAGTGTCAGTGCTGACGAGGAGGAAGCACAGAGCGCCCTGTCGACAGTGGCAGGGAGGCCCTGAGCGGGAGGCAGGGCCGGTCAGCTCTAGTGTATTCGCATGAAACCCATCTGCAGGGGAAGGGGATGACTCTTAGAGATGTCACATCATGCGGAAAATGTAAGTCCCAAAAGATTCATAGGATTTTCCACTAAAACTCAAAGACAAGCAGAGTTAATAATACATTGTTTAGGGAAATCTACATTAGCGATTGTAAAACCTGTAAAGTTGTTCTTGAGCAAGGGATTGATGGACAGAAAACTCAGCACAGTGGCCACGCCCGGGGCAGGGGTGGAGGGGGCGAGCCTGAGGTGGACGCAACAGCATGTCTGTAGATGGACCTTTGTAACCAACTCGTGCTATCTGTTTTCTTCTGTGTACCAACGGGCTCAGTTTAACAGCTAACAAAGTGAACTTCCAATCTAGTAAATCAAGTAGGGCGGGGAAATAGTGACGGAGGGCTGCCGTTAGAACTCTCTCCAGGGGTGGGTGGTCAGGGCGGCCCCTGCGCACAGCAGGAGGCGATGACTGAACAGCAAAAACAAAGGACAGGAGTTCTGGAGAGTTCCTGGAATGGACAAGCAAGCCTTAGAGAACCGAGTGCTAGCTATTCAGGGGCAGGCCACTGTCTATTTTTTTACGCCTTTAGCCAATATCTAACTCCCCTGTGGCCTGTGTGAGGCCAGTTTCCCAAGAGACACTGCTTCCTTTGCTGCTCGGCAGGGCCTCGGCACTGCAGCCGGTCCCCTGGGCTCAGCGGGTGGGAGGCTGACTGCGAAAGAGGACGGCGGCTCTGCCGCACAGTGCCGCAGGCGCCTTCCCGGGCCGGCAGGAAGGATTTCTTGTTCTCTGCTGCCTGGAGAGGTGCTTCTGTTCATTAGTGTAGATAATTGATGTGTGAGTGGAACCGGATCGTTTGAGGTCTTAAGAAGTTCCACTTAAAACCGCCACCTCCCACCGCTCCCAGCCCCGTAGTGAAATGAGCTGAAGTTTTATTGAACTGCCGTGGAGAATGGAGTGATGTTTCTCCCCCAGAAACGCCAGCTGCAACCCGCTGGCACTGCCTCCCGCCCATAGCCTCCCCACCCTGTCCCCCAGACGCTGGCCTACGGCGACATGAACCACGAGTGGATCGGGAACGAGTGGCTGCCCAGCCTGGGGCTCCCGCAGTATCGCAGCTACTTCATGGAGTGCCTGGTGGACGCGCGCATGCTGGACCACCTCACCAAGAAGGACCTGCGCGTCCACCTGAAGATGGTGGACAGCTTCCACCGGTGAGAAGTCTGCAGCCCCGGCCCTCCCGATGGTCTCCCCAGCCCGGGGTGTGTGCCCAGGAATAGCAATGCCTCCCTCTCTCTCCGTGGCCTGTTCTGGGTGGTGACACACCTTCCTCTTGTGAGAGCCGAGTCCTCATCTCCTCCTGCAGTTTGAGAGTTTGGGCGTCTCACCTCCAGCCGTTAGGACACAAAGGCCTTTCTCTTTAGCTTCACTTTCTTGGAGGTTCCCTCCTACATCTGAAGTTCATCACTTGTTCTTATAGTTGCTGAATTCTCTCTGCTTACCTGGGATGACTCAGACTGAACCCAGCGTCCAGCGTAGGTGTCTCATTCCTTCCAAGGGGAGAGGACAGGTTTTCTGGGCCCTTGCCTGCAACAGCCCAGCTCTGAGTCTCTCAGCTCTGAACCCACGACCTTTGTGCATGATGTCACCCAGGCCTCTCCTCCTCCGTGCTGGGAAGGCCTTCCTTCAGAAGTGTCTACAGTGCAGGTCCCCAGCTGGTGCCCGTGGGCAGAATTTGGCCCACAGATATGTTTTGTTCAGCCTACATAGTATTTTAAAAATTATGGGATTTAGCTGCCAGTATTTAAGCACTAGGAAATTTTACACAAAATTCCGGATGTCTGGTTTCTTTTGAAAAATTGGAAGCCTTGTCGACACATGTTGGTGTGGAGACAGCAGCTGGAGCGAGATGGCAGCATCCCTTGCGCCGGGTGGGTGGGCGGCCTCTCCGGGCTCTCCCACCCCACCAGCGGCTGTGCCCTTTGCAGGACCTGCCTGACCCCGGTGGGCGTTTGGGTGGGAGAGCACGAGGGGTTGCCATGGGTCCAGGGTGTCTGGTCTGAGGCAGTCCGTGATGACATCTGGCTGCTGGCCATGCAGGTCGTGTTTGAGCCAGGCCTGTGTCTCTCACCTTTAATGTTACAGCAGCCCTGTGGGAGAGCGGCACCGTCTCATGTGCTGGGCCCACCCAGGATGAGGAGAGCATACGCACTAATGTTGGGGCCGAGGTGTGTGGCTTTGTGAGGACAGCTCGGGGCTCTGTGGATGTCCCTCGGTCTCTCTGGCTCATCAACCGTAAAAAGTTAAATCCAGAAGGGATCTAGTTGCCTCCCCATCTCAAGGGGGAGGACATGGAGGCAGAGGAAGGCTCAGCAGCCGAGGGTCCCTCGGGCCATGGCAGAGGGCAAGTGTGACTTGAGTCTTGCTCTCCTGCCACGCCACGGCAGAGCCTCCGATGCTGGAGCTGTGGGTGTTCAGCACCACTGCTCCCTCCCCTGGGCTGAAGGGAACCTTGCCTCTCTGGAGGCGGCCAGGCCCAGCTGCACGGTCCTCCCCAGTGATTGATGGGGGTGGGGAGAAAGGGCCGGCCCTGCCCAGGGAGGCCGGCTGTGCCAGGTCTGCTTGGGGATCAGCCAGCGTGGCCCCACGTGGTGCATGGAAGGCCTCCTCAGGCCCCCTGCCCAGGCCCCACGGGACTCGTCTGCGCACGCGGTTCCAGATTCAGCTCTAAATCTTGAGTGCATTAGTCTCTAAAGCATTTCCACATTCCTGCCCTCAACTATGTATATACCTGCGTTTATTCCATTTGATGTTTCATAAGCGTGTTGTTACGGCTCTAAACATTCTTTTGAATCATAACCTTTTATGACAAAAAGGGATATTTAAAAACTCTCCTTTTACAGATGGGGAAACTGAGTCCAATAGAAACTGAGTGTGATCAGGTCCCTCGGTTGGGTGGCTCCAGCATGGGGCCAGCATCCTTCTTTCTTGACACCCCGCTCAGAGCGCTCTGCACTGGAGCACTGTGCTCACTGCACAGGCATCCTGAGGACCTGCTTTGACGGGAGGCCAGCGCACACAGCGCTCAGCAGTGTCCTCCACAGCGGGGCCGTCGCCGAGGGCCACGCTGTTCAGGGCTGGGCCCTGCCCTCTGTACTGTTGCCTTTAATGCCCCTAGCAGCCCTGCTGCAGAGCTGGGGCCCTTCTCTCGCTTGCGGAGTCCACCAGCTGGGAAGTGTAGGGCTGGCACTCAGACCCAGGCCAACCTGACTTGCAGGCCTTTATGCTTTTGCTATGCTATGCAACAGCTTTGAAAGTCGTAGGAACTAGACTGAAAGTTCTAGTGAGATCGAAACTAGGTGGAAGGGGTCTCCAGCGAGGAGGTGTGCGCTCCAGTGGCCAGGGCTTGGACCCGCAGCTCGAGCAGTGAATGGGTGCCTTGAGCCAGAAGAGAGTTGGTGAATTGGTGTCTCTGAGCTGCGGGTGGTGTTCTAGGCAGAAGGGCTGCCTGGGTGGACCTGAGGAGAGAGAGGGAGGGCGCGGTCGGCATCATTTCTCTCACAACGCAGTGGCCTCAGTGATAGAGGCAGCAGCAGTTGGAGTTTGGAGGGACCTCCATTCTGTCCCTCCATCTTACAGATGACAAACCCAGGGGCTGAACAACTGGGTCATGTTCAGGTTAGGGAAGGACACCGCAGTGACTGCACCCAGGTGGAACCGGCTGCCTCTGCTGTCGCGAGGTGACAGGCACAGGCATTCGCACCTCTTGGGAGGATGCTGCCCAGGTGACTCCTGCATCAGATGGCAGCTTGGACTGATTGTCTGTGGGGTCCCTTCTGACTTGCAGATTCTGTGGTCCTTACCCTGGCTTCGTTGTTACATATTGAGTGCCTACTATGCACCTGGTGCTGTTTAAGTACTTTTACACTTTCCGTGAATTACGTTGTTTCCTTCATTAAGCACTGATGGTGCTTACTCTGTACCAGGCACTGTTCTAGGGGTTTGAGATCCATAGTGGGCAAAACGAAGTTGCCTGCCCTCCTGGGACCTAACTTCTAACTGGGAGAGACAGACACGGAACAGTAACTATATAGCATGTTCATAGATGAGAAAGTTAGACCAGAGTATGGGGCATTGTGAGTGTGGGCCAGGGGGTGGTGATGATGTTAGTTGTAAATCAGGTGACTGCTGAGTTGAGAAGATGACACCTGAGCCAAGACTTAGAGGAGACAAGAGGGTGAGCCATGCAGCAGACCAGAGGAGGAGTGTTCAGATGGCGGGAGCAGCCAGTGCAACGGCCCTGAGGCACATAGGCAGGTGTGCCTACCATGCTTGTGGAACAGTGGAGGTGTTGGTGTGAGGTGCAGATCACGTAGCATCTTGTAGGCCGTTGCAAGGACTCTGAGTGAAATGGGGTTACCAGGGGATTTCTGTAGGGTCTGTGTGATTCCAGTGCCTGGAGAGTGGGGGGCATGTTGCTTCATTCAGAGGGCTTTCCTTCCACCAGTCAGGCCCACACCTTGGCTGAGGGAGGACATGGGGTCAGCAGAGAGAGGGAAGTACCCTGGGAGAAGGAGGAGTGTGTGCTGGCGGGGGTGGCCTTTGTGCTGGAGGCTGTAGGTCTGGACACGCCCTGGCTGTGCCGCATGTGGGGCAGACGTGGTGGGAATGCGCCCTGCTGAGGCCCTGGCTCGGGGCTGTGTGCCTACAGAACCAGTCTTCAGTATGGCATCATGTGTCTGAAGAGGCTGAATTATGACCGGAAGGAGCTGGAGAAGAGGCGGGAGGAGAGCCAGCGTGAGATCAAGGGTGAGCTGGCCAGCTCGGTGGGCCTCTGACAGGCATGGAGCGAGGGGCAGGGTGGCCTTGCTGGCACCTTCCATGGGCTGAGAGAGGGCTGAAGGCCTTCTGTGCCTCGGGGGGCTCCATGTCTGCGAGGGAAGGTACAGGCCAGCCTTGGGAGTGGGGGCTCTGGGTCCAGTGAGGGAGACATAGTCCATCCCTGAGAGCCCTGCCCCGTCAGCTGTAACCCCCACCCCATACCAGACACTGGCCCCCAGCTGGGCCGATACCATGGGTCCCGGACAGCGCTACAGACTGGGAGGAAGTGCTGGCGGAACTTGGTGATCTGGGTGGGGTTGGACGGGAAGGCGAGGCAAGTCTGAGACTAGCAGGTGGAAAGAACAAGAAGGGCACTTCCAGAGTGAGGGCAGGGGCTGGCAGGAACCTGTTGGCCCCACCCTGAGTCCTGCAGGCCGTGGGGATGGAGGCGGAGGGGGTGGTTCTGCAGGAGCCCAGGAGCCAGGTAGGACGGACAGAGGACGCAGGACCTTGGGAGCCTGAGAGCAGGGTGGACTGGAGCTCTGGGTCTGGGGAGCTTCCTTCTGGCCCTGCAGGGGCCTTGGCCCAATCTGCTGTCTCTTTCTGCCCCTTTCTTCCCCGCCCTCCAGATGTGCTGGTCTGGACCAACGACCAGGTGGTCCACTGGGTCCAGTCTATTGGGCTTCGGGAGTACGCAGGAAGCCTGCACGAGAGCGGCGTGCATGGTGCCCTGCTGGCCCTGGACGAGAACTTCGACCATAACACGCTGGCCCTGCTCCTCCAGATCCCCACGCAGAACACCCAGGTGGGCCCTGCCCTCGGTCTGTCTCCGTCTCCCCTCCCCAACTCTCCTGCTCTGGCTCTCGCACAGCACGGGCTGACGGATCTTTTTTGGGGGCTTTTCTGAGGCCTGTCCCAGCCGAATCACGACGTTCTCAGCACTCCACATGGGGATGTGCATAACCATGCCTGGGGAACAGGCGTACCGCATGTAGAGAGTGCGCCTGGCCCGGGTGCAGTGCTGCCGTGGGCACCCCGCCTCCTCCCAGCCCCATCTCTGCAGCCGGGACTCTATGCCTGCTTTTTCCTCAGTCACTTTTCTGACCTGACTTTTCTTAGAGGAAAACTAGCCCTGGGGCCCGAAGGGAGCAGAGAGCCCTTATTTATCTCCTGTGTCCCACCCTAGGGACCTACTCCTGGGCCCCCAGGCTTAAGAAAGCTAAATACACCCAGCAGCGCAGCCCAGAGCCTGTTGTGCCAGGGCTTTGTCCGCTGTGTGAGCTCAGAAGATCAAACGTCTCCTGACGTGACGTTTCCTCACTGTTACGGATGCCAGCCAGGGGCATCCAGGTCCTCCCGAGCGGTCACGTCCGGCCTTCCTGCCTTCCTGTAGGCAGTGGACCCTGTCGTGTGACGTCCCTCCTGATCTTGTTTGTCTCAAAGATGCCGTCAGGCTCCCCTGGGGAGGGGACGCCTCTCCCCATCCTCTGCACTTGGTGAGGGTGTTCGTATGTGACCAGCCTCACCTTTCGTGACTCTCTAAACTCTGATTGTGTTGCCTTGGGTCCAAGCCTTGGTCTCTGCAGACAGAGAGGTCTTAATTCTTTTAGCCTTTCCTCATATAGACTCGCCTCCTGCCCTGATCACGTTAGCCGCCGTTGTCTGGACTCTGCAGCTGTCAGGTCTCTTGAAATTCAGCCACCAGCGCTGCGCAAGCTGTCCTGGGAGCAGATGTATTTTGGCTTATGTGAGGGTGGGGCTGTGTTGCCTCATAATTCTGGGGGACATGTTGGCTTTTGTGGGTGATGGCAGCACAGAAGGCCAGTGTGTCCCATAGGCTCTCTGGAGGGACCTCCAGCCAGTCACATCCGAGAGCACAGAGCCCCTTGACCTCTAAGCAGAGCTCAGATTTCCCTGAGATGCAGGTTTTCTCCACTTGCCCATTTCCCGCCTCCTCAGCTGCTTTCTTGCCCTCTCACATGACTTTGTGAGATGTTCCTGAAGTTTATAGCTGAGTGTCGCCCTGCCCAGTGGAGCAGCGTCATGTGCATACGTGACAGTTTACTATGCTGCTCCTTTCCAGTCATTTATAACCCCAGTCCGTCCCCAGTACCGGTGCAGACCATGCTTACGGAGCTTGGTGGTTATTTTCCACCCAGTGGTGGGCTCGTTTCTGTCTTCTGTTTCCCCTCAGTGCCTCCAGCTCTGTGGAGAGCAGCACATCCGGGACTGCCGGGCACTCTGTGCTCGCTGGGCTGTTTCCTGGGCCATTCACTGAGCTGAGCTCTCAGAGGATGTGGGGGCTGACCCAGGATGGAATCCTTCGCCAAAGATGGTTACACTCACCTGGTGGCAGTTTTGAGAACACTTTGTTTCTGGCATTCCCAAACCTACTGAGTTTAAACTCCTGGGAGGCCTAGAGAAAGCCTCCGTGCCCCTCAGCCCAGGGCCTCCGATGCCCGCGACCGAGCAGTCGTCCTCAGTTACGTTTCTGATGTGGAGCCTTACGAAATGTGTTTCTTTAATCTGAGAAAGTTAAGTGTCCATTCCCCACGGTCTCCGTGCTGACTCACCCTCCGGGAAAGCTGTAAGGCATGATTTTCCCTCAGACACAAAATGTGAGTTTTTTCCCCCAGTAGGTGAAGCCTGTCCCTTCACTTGTTCTGTGATCCTACTTTTTAAAAAATTGCAGTTTTCTAATTTTTTCCGTATGAAAGAATCCTGAGGTTTACAGTTTCCTGTCTAAGAGGACACTGAGGTTTGCTTGAAGGAGCAGCATGAGTCCCATGCGTTGACACCCCATCTCTGCCCTTGGACCCCTGGGAGATGGGAGAGATGGCACGGGGGTCATTGCTACAGCCCTGCCGCTCTCCCTCTCTCACCCCGTGGACTCCAGGCACGCCAGGTGATGGAGAGAGAGTTCAACAACCTGCTGGCCTTGGGCACAGACCGGAAGCTGGACGACGTGAGTACCTGTCCGTGAGTCAGGGGCCTCCAGGGCCGCAGTCATTGTCTGTTCGTTGGATGGAAAGTTCATGAGTTCTGCTTTCCTTGGGCTAGTGATTGGTGGGGTGGCCTAAGGGAGAAGAGCCATGGCGGATGGGGATGATGTCGGGGCACTGGGAAGGCAGCCAGCCTGGCAGCAGGCCCGGGGAGGTCTCATGGCGCTCCTTCCTGGACAGAAGCTGACGGCTCCCGCGTGTTCTCCCGCAGCACCTTCCAGCTCTGTCTCTGAACCTACCAACCACGCAGGATTGGAGGGAGGTTCCCCCGAAAGCCGCCTCTGGGGTCAGATCTTGTCTTCACCTCTCGGACCCCACTTCAGGGCTGTCCGCACAGCCGTCTCCTGCCTGCCCATCGGTTCCGTCTTGTAGTAACGTGGCTGTTTGCACATGGGCATCATGCATTGTTGCTGAATCGCATTTGCTCCCCTGGCCCTCAGTGCAGCTGGACGTGGCCCCACACGGCTCAGGCCCTCACCCTCCAGCCTCCTCTCTAGTTCCTCTCCTGTGTCTGCCTTCACACCTAGCTGAGGTTTCCTCCCTCAGCCCCCTGGTCACTGAAGAAACAGTCCCTTCCGCTGGGTTTCGTCCGGCCTTGCCCTTGGGTTCACGCTGCGCTGTGTCCGGGAAGGCCCGACCTCCTGAGCCACGTGCTCACCTTAGAGCTGTGAGAGTGCACCTGCTTCCTGAGGACAGCCCTCCTCAGGCCCTGCCACGCCTCCCCTCCTCCCCCCTCCCCTTCCATCTTCAGTTCGATCTATTTCTCATCCCCATTTTCTGTGCAACTTCCCTTTCTCCACACCCCTGCCCTCACCAATGCCTCTGTTGAGATGTCTGGGCCTCCTCAGGGGAGACCGGTAGTGTTACCTACGTGTCAGTTAGTCCCTTCTTAGTTGGTTGAACAGGGCTAAATCCACCTCTGTGGGTGAGTGCCCAGCCTTGGTAGACAGGACACACTCTGGGACACATGGAATTTGTGGAGGGTATTTTCTTTACAGAGGTACCTTGAGATGTGGAGTGTGTCTTCCAGTCAAAGAGATAAGCTGCCAGATCCCGCCAGCTGTCCCCACTCAGAGATCCTAATTCCCCAGTGCCCTGCAGTGTGGACCCTCCACGTACTCCCACACCTAGGACCATAGCTTTCTTTGTGCAGCTAGGAGAGACAAGCCCATACATCTTTGTGTGGTGCTTTCTCATTTGGTAAGCTGTTCATTCCTTCAGTCCTTACCAAATATTCCTTGAGTGCCAATGCTGGGCAGTCACTGGGCCAGGCGCGGTGCTGCAGTGCTGGCAGCCCTGTCCCTTGTGCTGACTGTCGCCGTGTGACACAGGTTGCGATCCCACCGGACAGATGAGTCAGGTGCAGAGGGGTAACTTCCCTGCTGTCGCGGGCTTACGTGTGGCAGAGTGGGCCTGGAGCCCACATGTGTCTGGTTCCTGTGCACTTTCCCCTGATTCCTGTGGCCTCCCAGAAGCACGTGGGACTGGCTGGCCTCCCAGGCCTCAGACGTTGGGTGGAGTTATTGAGTCGTAATGTCATGGATGCAGCTAGGTGTGGTGCTGGAGAGGACTGGTTCTTGCAGGAAGCTTAAAGTAGCAGGCCAGATCTTGGCAATAAAGTGAAATTTGGTAGTAGAGGGGCAGTCGGAGATCCAAGGAGACTGCCTCCTGTGCAGCCGTCTAGCCATCATCGGCAACCTTGAACTGTCTCTTGCGACTCCTCCCTCTGCCACATCTGGTTCTTGGTTTCCCCTCTCAAGTTTCAAGGCCCTGGAGGGCTGCATCCAGTTCCCCCACATGGAGAGCCCGACTCCAGGGAAGTGAGGAGGTGGGGAGCAGGAAGAACATCTGACTGTTGGGAACAGGCGAGGAATAGAGAAACAAGCCCTTCAGATTTGCCTGAGGTGGAAATGGAGACAGAGAAAGAGAGAGAGAGAAAGGGTAGGATGCTGGGCTTGGCCGAGGGCAGGATCACGGGAAGACAGCAGTGATGAGGAAAGTTGCTGATCGACTCAAGGAGGGAGCCAGCTGCCAGCTCTTCACTGAACAAGGTTTACTGAGCGCTGGGTTCCTGGGGCTGCTCAGGGCCTGCGATACATTGGTTGGAGCAAAAAAGGTCATGGTCTCTGTCCTCTGGATCATAGAATTTGAAAAAGAGAGAGACTGGGGTGGGGAGATGGAGAGAGAGATTAATGAAATAATCTCATAAGGACATGTGAAATCGCTGCTAGGACAGAGGTGCGTCGTGCCCAGAAGTGATGGGGGCGTTTGGCCTGCTCAGGGCCCAGGTGGCAGGCCCTGGGAGTGGGCAGGCACTGGTGGTGTGTCCTGGTTCCTGCTGGCTGCCCTGGGCCTGCTCCAGTTCCCAGAACACGGGGAGGGAGATGAGGTGTGGCATCTGTGGGGTGGATGTGGGCTGGAAGAGGAGTGGGGAGGCCTGTGCAGAGGGGCGTCTGTAGAGTGAGGGCTCTGGTGCCCTTTGGCAGAGACGGTTCTTTGGAGACTTTGCTGGCAGGGGGCTGCCCACTGCATCCTTTGGAGGAGCCTGCCTCTGATTGGCTATCTGCCTGACCCTTCACTGTCACAGGTGTTCTCACCTGATCCCGTTGGGAACAGGCAGCCTGTGAAGTGGGCAGGGCAGATGTTACTCCTCTTTACAGATAAGGAAACTGAAGCTCAGAGAGGTCACGTCACCTGCCCGGGATCACATAGCCAGTAAGATGGCAGAGCCGTAACTGAAAGCCTGGTCTCCTGACCCAGGCTCTTCCAGCAGGCGGGGCTGCAGCCACACTGAGGCCGCAGAAGACGGGTGGATGGGAGCTGGCTGGTGACCACTCGCATGGGAGGAGGCTGAGAAGAGGAATCCTGGGAAGGTTAACAGCCCAGGCTGAGATGTTGGGGCCGGGAAAAGAGTTCCCCAGCAGAATGATGACAGACCCCAGCAGGGGACCCGCCCACTGAGAGGGAATCTCAGACTGGGAAAGCCCCTGGGAGTCAATCCACTTGAGCCGATTCCGTTTTACAGGTGGAAACTGAGGCCAGGAAAGGGGGAGGGCCAGGACTGCGCCGCCCCGGCAGTGAGGGGGCCATTCCAACCCGCCCCTGGCCTGTGCGTGTCCCCACTGCAGGGCGAGGACAAGGTGTTCCGCCGCGCGCCCTCCTGGAGGAAGCGCTTCCGGCCGCGGGACCCTCCGGGCGGCGAGACGGTCCCCGCCGGCTTCCGCGTGTCCGCGCTCGGGCCGCAGCCGCCGCCGGCGCTGCCCAGGAAGGGGCTGCCCGCAGGTGAGTGGGCCGCGGGGCGGGCGCGGGGGCGCGGCGAGGCGGCCGGGCGCACGGCAGCCCCAGGGCTCCGGGGGCGCGGCGGCCACTAACCGGCTCTGTGTTCTCCCGCGGCCGCCGACCCTCCCAGCCGGGACGGCGGGGGCGCCGAGACTGGAGACCTCCACGGTTCGGACCTACTCCTGCTGACCCTCCCGCCCCGGGTCTGGCGGGGTGTGCCCGTGGCTCGGGGTAAGTGGCCGGCCGCCTCCCGCCGCCGGCCTCGCCAGGGCAGGGCAGGGCAGGCAGCCGCGTTCCCCGCAGCGCAGTCCGCCCGCCCGCCGCTCAGCGCCGCGCATCTCGCCTCTCTCCCCCTCAGCTCGCTCCCACTATCTCTACGGACACATGCTCTCCGCCTTCCGGGACTAGCGGGCCGGCCGCCTTCTGCTCCGGCCCTTCCTCCTGCGGCTCCCAGCTCGTCTGACTTTCCGCTTGCCCTGGATCTCAGAATATAGTCGCCTCCCATATCCCCCGCTCAGAGTCCCTCGTGTGTCCTCTGTCTGTCCGTCATGGATGTCTGGGTCTCCTGGTGGTGTGCAGGCACCCAGGTGGTCCCTGCTTGGGATTCTGCGGGAGGAAGAGGACAGCAGCCCAAGGGGGCTGTGACGCACTCTCCCTCCTCCGGACCTAGCTGGTCCTCCACCCGACACTGGCCCACGGGCTGGGGATGACGGCCCTTCCGAGAAAGGCACTGCAGACTCCGCCTGGCTTGGGCTGTTCGGCCTTCTGGTCCCTGTCCACCTACGGGCTGTGCCAGATGGTCTGACGCCTGGTTTTGGTGTCCCAGCGTTGTTCCTCCACAGCTCATCTCCACACCTACAGGCTTGCTTCCAGGCCCACCTTGGGGGCTGGGTGGGCTGCAGAAGGCCCCTGCTCCCTCAGAGCGCTGCGGCTGGGGCAGAGATTCCAGGCCCCAGCTTAAGCTGAATCCAAACATGAGTTTGGGAAGAATCTGAGCTTTGGGCCAAGTGTGCGGTGGGAAGCTCTCAGCTGTCCTGCCCAGTGAGAAGTGCAGACAGGCCGGCTGGAGGGGGCGTCAGTGGTCTGTGGTGGCCTTAAGTCCAAAGGGCAGTGGGAATGCCTCCTGCCCCAGCCGTGGGGTGGAGCTGCTGCCAGGCTGGGGCCGGGGGATTGTGAGGATCTTGGTTCGGGGGCACTGCTGACTGTGTTCCTGCCACCCCTTCCCCTGCTATCCCCTTCTGCTCCACTTCTTTAGTGGCCCCAGCCCCATAAGAATATACCTGATGGCTGGATGGAGTGTGCGTTGACCTTAGATTCAGGTTTGGGAAGAAGGCAGTCTGAGGCTTCCTTTCCCTCATCTCCTGGAAGAAAATAAAGCTCCCTGTGTGTGAATCATGTCCAGCTCCAGAAAACCCAGTGTTGGTGACAGCTGTCTCTCCTGCTCGTCCTGTCACCCACCCCATGTCCAGGCTCCCCCGGTGTGCGGAGACTTCCTCCTCCAGAAACCCCAGGCCCCGTGGCTTCCCGCTTCAGCTGCTTCCCCAGCAGTGTGGTCGCAGCCTGGGCTGAGGGACGCAGGTCCTGTTTGGCAGGAGGGGCATTCCCAAGAACCCCTCTTCCTCACCCCCTTCCTCCCCCTGCTGAGGTGCCTAGGCATGTTTGGGACCCCAGTTCGGGGTGCGTTGATGGAACCCAGGGCTCTGTCCAAGTGAGAGGAGAGGAGCAGGGTCTGGAGCACGTTTCTTGGAGGGGGGCCAGTGCCGTGCCATCCTTCAGGCAGCTGAGCAGCTGGTTTGCAACCAAGTAGACTGGGGTTCTGAGTGGGGGTGAGGCTAGCAGGTGGGAGGATGGGTCAGAGCCTCCTGTCCAGAGGAGCGCTGGGGCCTGGGCAGGGCTGGGGCTTGGAGCCTTCTGCTCGTTTGCAGTAGAGGAGAGGTCCACTGGTGGGGGCGCTGAGTAGGCCCCCCTGGGTGTGGGCGAGGCAGCCACCTGCCCTTGCTCTCCCTCGTTGGTCTCTGCCCCCCAGTCAGGCCGCTGCAAGTGGGGCCGCAGCGGTTCTTTAGCAGCAGGTGAGCTGGACGGAGAAAGAGCCCTGTCCCTGGGTATGGATGTTAAGAGTCTGGAGCAACCCCAGATTCTTAAGATTGGTGGAGTTGGGGACCACAGGCCATCTAACTCCTTCAAGGGACTCGATGGGCTAGCTCAGTGGGAGAGTCAGCCCCGCCTGTCCTCTGCAACTTCACCTTGTCACGGTTGGTCATGTCCTAAGGCAGGGACCTGGGTTCGTTCAGGACATCTTGGGATGTGATGGAGAAGAGAAACCTGTGCACGTCGGGATGGAAGGCTGTTTGGTGTAGCTCTGACCTCACAGTCAGTATATTTTTTATTTGGAGAGTCACCAGTGAGCCAAGCCCCCGTCATCAGCTTCCTGTACCTTGTCAGGCCCCTTCTCAGTCCTGTACTGGCTCAGCGCATCAGAAATGGATGTGCAGGTGGGTGTGGGTGTGGGTGTACCAATAAACAACCTGGTTTTAAGACAGCATACAAACGGCTCTGGTCTTTTCTTAACTCTGAGCTCACCTGACATGTCCAGCTTCTTCCACACCTGAAGCACTGCTGTGCTCTGGGAAGTAAACATCAGAGTTAAAAACTTGTCGCCAGTAACCTTGTTCCTTATATAACCAGGACTGGAAGGTTACTGTTTGGGTTGCTTGTGCCAAGAGAGTGGAGGGTGGGGGAGGCGGAGGAGCCTGGGGGCTGGGCTGGACTTGTCTCCTCTGCGTCCTGCTCCTGGCCATGCTCTACTTTCCCTGCAGCCTTCCTGCTGCCCCTGGAGTTCCCCTCCAAATGCCCCATCACGTCACCCCTGTTCACACTTCCGGCAGCTCCCCCACCTCTAGGTCGAGTCCAGCTCCTCGGGGTGGCGTGAGAAGCCGTTGGGGCCTTGCTCCAGTGCCCTCTGCCCGCCAGTCTCCAGTCTGCCTAGCTTGGAGGCCTTGGGTGCACCCGGCCCCATCACAGAAGGCAGACGGGCGCTTCTGTCCTTGCCTTTGCGGCTGCGAACCATCAAGACCCACGTCACGCTTGCCTGGGAGCTGCCAGCCGCCCTTCCCAGCAGAATTAGAAAACCACAGCCCTTTGCTCCCGTGGCGCTCTGCGTGTGGTGACACGGTGCTGTGTGGTCATCGTGCCTTGCTCTGTTTTCCACACGGGGCTATGAGGAGGCTCCTTGAGGTCACTCTCGTTGATCTCTATATCCCTAGACGACACACTCGAATGGATACACGAGCTGACCTTATCTCAGAGGGTTTTTGTGAGGATTATTATTAAATAAAGCTAAAGTCACTGGAACTACCGTGTGCCAGATGCACTTCTAAGCGTGCCCAGTGTGCAAGCTCGTTTAACCCTCAGGACCCACGATGCATTATTGTTGCCATTTTGCAGAACAGGAAATTGTCAGGCTGATGCTGCACAGCTGGTAAGAGACATGTGGGTCTCACGCCCGGGTCTTCCTGGCTGCACCTTGTCGTTGACTGCACTGTGTCCGCTAAAGCTTCTGACCTGGCCAGGAGCGCCTACGAAATGCCACTTTTCTTTTAAGTGAGCTCAAGCCCTGCCCTCGGCTGAGCCTCCCCCAGCTCCATGTCCCAAACCCCTGCGTCTGTACCACTCATGTGGTCCTTGGGGTCTTCGTGGGGCCGTGTTTCTTCCCACCAGGATGGTGAACTCCTTTAGGGCAGCATAATACACCGCACGTCCTGTGTTCCTTCCAAGGCTGACAGCGTCCCGCACACTGACGGTACAGGATGGCCTCACCCACGACCATGATGACAGGAGAGGAGCAAGACAAAGCCACCTGTGGCCCAGGGAGGCCACACAGGCCAGGGAAGGTGCTGCCCCAGTGCCTACAGGCCTCTGGGGGTCCCCTCCCGCCCTCTCCATGATCAAAGATAGAATCGACCAGCCTTGGTGACCAGCGGGCTGCAGGAGTGAGACCTGAAGGAATCCAGGAAGATGGTTTCCCAGTGTCACTGTCCACTGGGATGGGGAATGCAGAAGGAGCAGGCTTATGTGGAAATGAGTTTGGTTTTGGACATGCTGAGCTTGAGGTGAGACCTCACCATCGTGTTTCTGTTGGCATCTGCAGAAAAGAAAGAAAAATCTAGGTTTCTCTCCTAGAAGACTTCCTGTACCTCCCCTGGGGATGTTCCCAGCAGAGGGAGAGGCGGAGTCTGGATCCAGTGGGTGCCTGCGGCTGAGGGCTGAGCCCAGCTGGAACCGCTGTGGGGTGGAGACCTGGGGTTCCTGCTGGGCCTGGGCTGTGCCCCCTTAGCCTGGACCCTCCCCAGCCCAGAGCCTTCCATCTTCCTGAGCTCTTGCTCACCTCCAGGCGTCTCTGCCTCAGCCTGGAGCCTAGAAGCCAGGGGTACAGACCAGCCCAGGGGATGTGACATGTTGGGGTGGCTTTTTTTCCACGAGACAGACACCTGAGCCGTGGGGCTCTTCTCACCCTTCATGTCCCCCTCCACCTCCCTCTCCAGGTGGTCCAACCCTGTACGCCTGCAGCGCTGAGAAAGGTTTTCAAGTCTGCCAAATAGATTGCTTCGAGAAGTCAGATGCCTAAGAATGTGTGTTGGAGTGCAGCAAATAGTACTTCGAGCATTCTGCAGTTCACAGCGCTTTCTGAGCACTCCAAGAAGTTGCTGTTCGCACACTGACAATTGGGATGGCAATTTCAAGTAATTCTGGTCTTTTCCTAGTGGTTCCCCAAAGCCCATTATTAGGCAACCTTTGATTAACCCGATTTGATTTATTGCAGGTGCTTCCACCGGAGACCTAATTTAAGCTAATTTCCCTAAAGAACTACCACTTATTATTCCTTAACCGGAGTCCTATCTGTAACTCAGTTGGGAAGGCCCAGCATTTGTTAATTTAAGAAAGGTCCTGTGCTTTGAAGACACACTTGTTCTCTGGCTTGCAGAGTGCTCCCT